GGGCACTGCCCAGCCACCCAGCCTGCCTGGGCTGGGGCTCCTGCCACTGTCAGCGCCTGAGTCACACTCAAGTGGAACCATTCATCAGGCCCCACTAATTAGGTAAAGAGCAGATGGGTAACACTAGATACCGAGCACCTTTTCCATCTCCCACACGACTACGCAATGTGGGAGAGAGTATTACTTGGATAATTGAGCCTCATTTCTCATAAGTGTTACCGGTATCTAAAGGTGGCCTGCAAAGAATTAGAATAATTAATCCTCTGCTTGTGTGGGTTTTTACGCCAGAGAAAGATGCCCTTGAAGAAGATTTTAAGATGATTTGTCTACTTATTATTTACCTCAAGCATCCAGCAGGTACTAGACTTCTTGGTCTAACAGAAGGCTGCTGGGAGGAACAAGGGAGTTTACTGTGAGCTCCTAATGCTTTCACTGGACTCCAAGGGCTTTCATCACATAGAAGTGCTCATAAGCAGCAGATCATAAACCAAATGAGTTTTAACTGTCTGCCTAAAGTTCCTCCTTAATAGCAATTTTTTTTTTTTTTTCACATTCCTGCTTGCTCCAGAGAGAGTTGCATTAGTTCATCAGATGGAAGTGCCCACACAGAGGCAGAAAGGCATTCAGGGAGAATTTCTCTGGCTTTCATGTGCTTTGAAGCAGCAGGTGCAGTTAAACCTATTTCTTCCATCTACGGCTAGTCCCCTTCTAAGACGTTTTTTAAGCGCCAAATGCCACTTATCTTTCCATTTTGTATGCAATCAACTAGCTAGAAACAATACTAGCCAAAATCCCTGGATTATCTGCACAGAGAATAGAAAGGACACATCCCCGATTAGACAACATTGCAAAACACAACCCAAAGCTTGTCATGAGCAGCTACAGTCTAAAACCTCTCCTGCTGCCAGGGAGTTACAACATCAACTGAATCAATCTTACGGTGTATAATCAAGATCCTCATCACGAGCAATTCTCCCCTGCTCCCTCCACATGGACTCTCTTGCCCAAAGACCCGTCAGACACATACCGTTGCTCTCCCACCCTGCTCTTCAGCTATTTGTTAATCTGCCTGCTGAGAACTCACCCATGAAGGACGATGCTGGTGCATCAGGGGTTCGGCCATAGTGTGCCATCAGCTTGTGTTTGGTCTCTTGCTTTCTGTGCTTCTTGCCTACATAGTGCTGTTTTGCCATAAGGGGGTTGTTGAAAGTGGCATGGCAGAGGCTACAGAACTTGTCTGGGTCAGTAATGTCCTTGTTCTCTTCGTTAGAAGACACGGTAGAGGTGGGGAGGGTAGCAGGATGTTTCTGAGGGGGCACTGATTCTGTAAGGTGAATCCAAACTCTTGGTTAGTCACAGAACTTGGAGGTAAAAAAGTCACTTTATTTCCCCAAAACCCACATTAAAAAACATAGTCCATGACAGCTAAAACCCAAACAGACAGAGAATGTAAGACATCTAGATAAATTCACGTTGCTCCTACCTCTTCCGTTAACACCGCAGAATTGAAAGGCATGTGGTAAGACAAGTCAGAGTAGGCCAGAAAAACTTTCAGCATTAAAAAAAACCCCAACAGAATTATATATTTCTCCTGAACATAAGCATGGCCGTCTTCAAAAAACACTGGACATGAAGGAGCTTCTACCTACTATTATCATCACCCTGCCAGAACACAGGTACAAGCCCCTGTGCAGCAAAGGCAAGCGGGTTTCTGGAAACACTGTGCAGCTGCAGGACTTGAGGAGTCTTGTCTGAGAAATGGTATGAACAGGTCTAGGTCTGACGCAGTGAATCCACACAGAGAAGTGGCTCTCCTGTCTGATGGAGAAACTTGCACCCTCTCATTATGGGGAACCAAAGACCAGAGTGAGGAACCTTCTAAGGACCAGAGGGCTCCTCTCACACTGAAACAGAAGGTACGCACCAGACCACTCATGCATACATCCACCCCTTCCTGAAGGCTCCTCTCATACCCCAAAGCAAGGACTTCAAAGAACAAAAACATCCCATAGGGCACCCTGACCCCAGAGGTGGCTTCGCTGTGTGCACACAACCTAGCAAAGCCACAAAGACCCCCTGGGATGGACAGTTTCCGCCCTGAAGATCCCAGCTCAGAGCCAGCACAAGTTACCATCCTCAGGTGCACTCAAAGGCTGTGTTTTCCCTCCATCCTGACCAGCTACAGCAATCCTGGACTCTTGGCTGTCCCTGTCCGCCCCAGACAGAGGGTCTCCCTCCCGACCCACTGGGCCTTTCCATCTGCTAGCAAAGGGATGGGACACACAGGCAGCTGCCCTGGGTCAGACCCAAGGTCTGCCTGGACTGCATCCTGTTACGAGAGCAGCCAACCTAGCAGCAGGTGCCATGGGAAAAGCACAAGGTCAGGACAAGCACATACTGACGCTTCCCAGCTACACTCTCCCAGTCCCCAGCTATCTGCAGCTCACAAGTCCTGGAACCTCAGAGGCTACATCTTCATAGCTGAGCAGCCCTGACAAATTTACCATATCGGAGTTTCACCAGTCACTTCAGTCCCTGTAAGCTTTTAGTGAGCATCGTATCCTGTGACAAGCATTTCTACAGCTTAACACCACATTCCCTGAAGAGTGGCTGTCCTGGCCCCTGCACACAGGGATGGGTACAACGATGCCGTAAGCTGCATTTCTCCCAAACAAAGCAAAACAAAAAAACCCACAGAACTTTTTGCCAACACTATCCCACCGAGCAGGCTACTGAGAGAGGCTGTCTCTGGAAGTGCAGTGTTGGCTTACTCTGCTTCATTGTAAAGAGTACGCGCATCCTCACAAGAGCTTACACTTGGGGGCCAATGAACCTCTCAACTTCTTTATTGCTTGAATAGCCCCTCAGTACAACACGAAGGCGCTGCAGACAGTCATACCTTCCACTTTGGGGGACTGCTGCTTCATGTTCTTGGCATGAGTCTTGCCCAAGTAGTGAGATGTTGCCACGGCTGGAGAGGAAAAGGTCATGTTGCAGATGGGACAGCACTTGTTCCTGTCTTCACCGTTGCTCCCTTCCTGCTTGCTGTCCTGTGCACACAGAACCACAGAGTGGCTGAGGTTGGGAGTGACCTCTGCAGGTCACCTCGTCCAACCTTCTTGTTACGAGAAGAAACAGGAAGGTTTGGGGGGTCTAAGAAAACAAGGTAACCAAAGACATTCTGGTGATGAGTTAAGAAGTGTAACTGAGTAGCACTTCCATGATGCAGCATCATCCTCTCCCTCACTGGAGAGTGTTTGTGCACCAGATTACTTTTTGTAACCCTTTAGGAAACCACCCCAGGCAGAGGGGCAGCCCTGGCCTGTATGGGTTAAGGACAAGGTTAAGTGTGTGGCTGCCAGAATTGGAACAGGCAGCCTTTCACTCTGCAAGGTGTGAACTGAGCAACACAAACATTGCTATCAGCTGGGTCATCTGCAACACGATGCCAGTGGAGCAGCCAGCAGCGGTCATTTCTAAGCCTAACACTATGCGTGAAGGCATCTGCCTCTACCCCCCACCCCCCCGGCGCAAATGTTGAAGAGTTAGGGATTAAAGCTGAAGCAATCATAGAAGTAGAATCTGTTTCCCAAGTGAGTCATGGGGCAGACAGATGGCCGAGTGGAACATGGTGCCTTTACTGACCAACCAGCTCCAGCTACCAGCCGAAGAAACTTATTTAAGTAAAAAAAGATTGCTCTGGAAAGAGAATTCCAGTAGACAAGTCAACCCAACATGCTCTCTGTCACAAAAAAGGTTGTGCAATGATACTCCTGACAAGCTGTCATTCCCATTCACTTTTCCCTGCCCTTCCAAACAAGTAAAAGGCCATGTGCTTTTGTTTAAATGGGGAGGGTAGCAGGAACTGCACTTGCTGAGACAAGGCCCGGCACTGCACCTGCCATCGAGCTCTTCAATTCTCAGAACGCCCTTTCTGAGAAGGTTTTCCTCATTATAAAGACACCCAGGCTGCACAACTGCCTTTAGCCCAGCAGGTCCCGCCGGGCCGTATTCAGGCCCGAAGGGCTCTATGTTCTCCTCTCACCTGCTTCGCATCCAGCCTCATCTTCTTCCCATGGGCGAGCTCCTCTCCGCCGTGGATTGACAGGTACCGCCTCACCTTGTTGGCGTGCTTCTTGCTCTGGAGAAAGCAGAGAGAAGCGCGTCCACCCTGATGCTCAGCACCCTCGATTCTCAGCAGCCCTGATGCTCAGCACCCCCGGTGCTCAGCAGCCCCGATGCTCAGCAGCCCCGATGCTCAGCACCTCTGCCGCTCAGCACCTCTGCCGCTCAGCACCTCTGCCGCTCAGCACCCTGATGCTCAGCACTCCGCTCCCTACCTGGTAGTGGGCCAGCCTCTGGGACTCGGAGATGAGCAGGGCGCTGCACACTTTGCACTGGGCCTCGGTGAAGATGTGCCCGTTCTCCCGGATCAGGCGGTCCACTGCGGGGGGAGGAGGAGGAGGAGGAGGAAGGGGGGAGAGGGGGAGGCACGGCACAACCGGGGCGTCAGCGGCCCGACCGCGCCTGACGGAGCCCGGACGCCCCCACCGCCCTCGCCCCCTCCCCCGGCTCCTCACCTGCCTCCTTCCCCACCGGCAGCCCCGCGGCGTCCCCGTTGCTACCCGCCCCGTCCGCCATGGCCGCCGCCAGCCCCGCCCCCCCCCCGCCTCCTGTCGCTCTCGCGATACCGCCCGAGAGTTGTCCCGTTCCCCCCCGCCCCTCGCCTAGCAACGGCGCCGCGGCCTCCCGCGAGAGCGCCGCTCGCCCGCGAGGGGAGGCGGCGGCGGCCATGTCGGTTGTGGGCAGGACGGTGAGGGCCGGCGGCGCCCCGGGGGAAGCCGCCCGTCCCGCGGGGCTTTCCGAGTATTTAAAGGACACAGCGGTCGCGGCGGCGGCAGCGTTAAGCGCAGGGGTAGTCTTTGAGCCGCCGAAGCTTCGCAGGTAGGGGGTTAAAGGCGCCCCCCCTCCCACCACCACGTTCGCCTCCTCCCGGGGAACTCGCGCCCGCTGCCCTGCTCGCAGCGGCCGGCGCCAGGCTGAGAAAATGGCGCCGGCGCCAACGGCTGCCGCGGCGCCTCAGGACGAAGCGCCAGGGCTTCTCACGCCCCGCAGCGCCGGGCCCGCTTGCGCCATGGCGGCACTGTCCGCTTCACCGCCCCGCCGCCCGCGTGACGCGCCGCGAAGCTGCTTCCGCCATCTTGGGTGAGGGCAATGAGGCCTCCGCCGCCAACTTGAGTGCGGGTGAGAGACCCGGTGCAGCGGGGCGGCCCGGCGGGGAGGCAGCGGCGCCGCCGCCGGTGGCCGCGCAACGGGGCGGCCCGGCGGGGGCGGGGCGCTGGCCCGCGGGAGGCCCGGGCCCGGTGAGTACCTGTGCCCCGCGGGGCCTGCCGCACCGCTCCGGGCCCGCTGCCCCCGGGCTCGCCCGGGGCCCATCCACCTCGGGGCTCCCGGGGGCCGGGCCCTGACCCTCACCCCCCACCCCCCCGGTCTGCTTCTTCCCTCAGGGGGTCCCGGAACTGACCCCCAGGGCCGTTCCCCGGCCCGTTCCCCTGGGGCAGCTCCCCGGCTGATCCCCCAGGCGTGCCCACCAGCCCGTGACCCGGGGATCGGACCCCTGCGCCAGCATCACGCCCCTCACGGGCTGGACCCCAGCCCCTTGCCTTGGAGGTGACCCTGGTACTGTGCCCCTTCCCCTGGGGCCACCCTAGTGCTCCTCTCCCAGGGATGGCCCCTCAGGAGGGCACCCCAAAAACGATTCTTCCTCCCCCTTCCCCCTCTCCCCCTCAAAGAGCTCTGCCCTGGCCCCATCCCGCCCTGGTTAGCCCCTGTGGCCAGCTCCTGCCCCTCCTGTCTCCCCCTGCCAGGGCTGGCTCCCTCCCCTTCTGCCGGGGCAGCCCCAGCACCCTCCTCCTCCTCCTCTGGTTTACCCCACCTATGGCTGATCTCCCAAGCTCACCCCCCATCCCATCTGGGACCCCCCATGCTTCCTCGCCAGGCTGATGCTTGTTGAGTAGCCCTGACCCCATCCTTGTCAGTCTCCCTTCGGAGCCCTCCATCCCAAAGGCTGCGGGTTGGGAAGGGGGGTGGGAGGACCTCGGGTGGGTGCTGAGGAGAGGGTTGCTCTCTCCCCATGCAGGACCTGTCCTTGGAGGAGGGAGAGGTGCTGCGTGCGGGACTTGGTTGGGCTGGGCTAGAGGGAAGCTGAGCAGTTAGCATCTCCCGCAGAGTCAGCAGCATTTGCAGCTGCACAGTGCTTGGGCGTGCTTGGCCTCTGTGGTCTCTGTGTCCCTTCTCGTGAAGAGTGAGTTCTATAAACAGATAAATTCTGTAAATAATTCCTCTCCCTCTGGGGCACTGTGAGCCCTCATGTCCTGCCGGTCGCAGAGCATCAACTGGGCCCTGCATGCTGGATTGAGCCGGGGGTCTGGGGGTGATATTTCCAGGGAGGCATGTGGTGCTGACCTGCCTGAACACGGAGCCGCTTCATGGTGCTGCAGGGGAGCGTCGTGCCTCTTCTTCCTGAGGTGGGGGGAGTTGTTTACAAAGCGACAGCCTGTGTCTCAAACGGCTCAGAAACTCATCCGGGGATGAGAGTCATTCATTTTTGGCTTCATTTTCAAGCATTTTTCAAGCTGTCACAGCTTGGCAGGTCTGTAGCTGCAGTGTCAAGATTTAGAATTATTCTGTCGGTAATTGCTTTCTGATTCATCAAAATGATAGATGAGAGGGAAAATGACAAATAATCACAAGTTGGGGATCTTCAAGGATATCCCTAAAAATGTGACTGGAGAAGCATGGCATGTGTGAGTCCCTTGTCAGGAGGTCACCTTTGCTGTCAGAGTATTTACAAAGAAATTCTCTTAAATTCAGAGTTGGAAAAAGACCTAGATAACTGGGAAATAAGTCTGTGAGCCAAACTGCAAAGGTAGTTTTAGATAATTCAATCTTTGGCCTTTTTTGCCAAGCCTGAAAGCTGGTATCACCACTTCAGATACTAGCAACTGTCCTTTCCAAGACTGCTAAAAGGTAAATACAGCTTCAGCGTTTAACTTCCCTGCCTGAAGAGGGGTGTGTGTGTTCTGATGCGTGTTTTCTTCCCTCAGCTATATCAGCTTGCCTAATAAAAGCTATTACTGCTCTCCTACTCATAGCCTCAGACTTGCACAGCTACAAGTGATCTCTTACTTGTCTTGTTCCCTTAGTTACATTTACAGAGACTCTCTTTGCCACAAGTCCCTTCATTTTCAGAAGCGCTGTGGGAGTTGTGTGTTACATCTCTTACATCTTTTTTTTTCTTTCCTTTAAATGTTGAAGGTAGGTGACTCATCATAACTCCAGCTGATATTTCTCAGTGATCTCTTATTTAGCACAGTGCATCAAGCAGAAGATGTATCGCAGAGTCAGAGGAGAACTGTTGATACCAGCGTGGATTTAAAAAAAAAGACAGCATGGCAGTTGCTTGTTGCTGTTTGTTTTTGTTTTGGTGGCAAGAAGGTTTACAGGCTGTCTCTCCAAAACCAGAGTGACCCTGCATAGGCTCATGTACTGGAGGCACGGGTCTCTCCAGTGCTCCTCCCCATCGCCATGTCAAAACGCCTGTGTAAGTGTTTTTCTTCTGATAAGGGAGTGTTTCCCACAGTGATGGACTCCCTTTGTGGGGGTAGTTTTTGGCAGCTGGGCGTGAGGCCTGGTTCATCTCTCCAGGCAGAGGGCAAAGAGACCATTTGGAGCAGAAGATAAAAAAATGGAGAAAGTATAATGAGGATATACCAACAAGACCTGAGTTCAGCTCAGTTGGAGCAGAACAGCTTTGTTTTGCAAGAGCCAGTGCTTTATCCAAAAGCAGTTCTTGTTTTTATTTTCCCTTCCTAAAGAGACAAACATTTGTGGACTGCAGTGGTTGTTGCAGTCAATTCTGGAGCTGTGCATGCCATTTGTACAATATTCTGTCTTCAGAGGGCTCAGCAAACCTTCGGTGCAAATCATGACTCACCAGGATAATCATCTTTTGTCTCTAGGCATGCGTGTGCATGTATTTGCAGAGGAAAGGAGGCAGAGAGGCTAAGAGCTTTTGAAGGCTGCAGATAGTAGGGAGGGAAGGCATGTATTCCTTTCTCAGCCTCACCTTGCTGCCTGGGACTGTAGATGGAGCAGCGCACTGCTCTTCGTAGCATTGATGGGAATTTTGAACTTCTTGCTCATTAGTATTTCTACACACAGTGGCAGTTTGCATTTTTGTGGTGTTACTGAGAAGGGTTTGGCTCTATATTGGGTAACACAGGGTCTTTGTTGCATCTTCTCTTACTCTTATTTTAGATCTAAGCAGCACATTTGAGCTATTTCAGTGATCTTGAAGGAGGCAGAATGATCCTGTGGAAGGACACTGGTCTGGGAACCAGCCAACTTGACTTACATTTCCAGCTCTGCTGTTCTCTGGTGTGTAACAAGGGGCTTGTTGCTTAACTGCTCTGCACATGTTTAATTCTAACTTAAACAGAGCTGATCTAAGGCTCTTTTAGATCACAGTTCAGGAAGCACTGAATGTTGTTGATGAGTTATTTGCCAAACAGCAAACATAGACAGGAAAGGGTGATTTAACTCCGTGCCGCCCTGCTGGTCTCGTTCACCATTCCTGATCCTCTCGTCTCAGTCCTTTTTGATCAAAGCAGCTAACACTTGCTGTGCATCTCTCTCCAACAGTCTATGGGCTGGCAAGGAAAGGAGACGTTGAAGTACTAGCTTGCATTGTGTGGGCACCTGCCCTCAATTGTGCTGCACACAGAGCACTCAGGTTTGCACTAATAACGCTCAGCAGGTTCCTCCCTGCTTGTCAAGTGCCTTTAATACGAATGGTTCAGGCATGTCTGCACAGAGGACTTCCGGAGGCTGATGCTCATTGAGAAATCCGGGCTGCCAGATAAACCTGTTGTCTTGTTTCTAACCTGCCTACTGCCGTTGCCTGCGTTTTCCCTTTTCGTAGTGCTGGTGCAGCATTCCACCGAGCTGCTGTGCTGAGAGCAAAACAGCAGCCTTTGAGGAACATGCCTTTCCCCCTTGTTGAATATAAAAGCTGACAAATGGCTGTGCTGTGGTGGCTTCTTGTTCTGGCATGCAAGCTTCAGCTTGATCTGCTGCCACAGCCTGGTTTGTTCTGCACTAAAATGGTGAAGGTGTGGAGCTGAGGGGGGGAAGTTCGGGGTTGTGTTGGAGGGCGGGAGACCTGCTGTGAAGTGATGCTTTGGAGGAGTTTGCTGATGAGCTTTAAGAGGAAATCCTCATTGCTTTGGAGCAAGGGCATTCAGAGTGGCTTTGGTCTGTGTTGCTGTTCCCCTGAAACCCCCTTTTTAGCGATCAGCTATAATAAACTATTCACAACTCGATGAGTGGTGACTGGTACATGTGGCTCCCAGTAACACTAAATCCACCATGCTTTGTAATACGGTTCCAACGCCTGGGGTATTTTGCCTAAAAATAGCAAAAAAAGGATGGCTGTTAGGGGAAATCTAAATCAGAAGGAAACAAATGGCTTTTAATCTTTCCCTCTGTTTCAGAGTGAAGGATGCCGAGGAAGAAGAAGCCCACAGAGGGCCTGGATTCTCGAGGTCAGGATGGGGAGGAAGAGGAGGAAGAGAAGAGGAACCCAGCCAATGCCAAGAAGAAGCGCAGTTTTGTGGATGCATTTATCGTTATATCTGACAGTGATGGAGAGGTCAGTGATCGGCTTGTGGTGTCCAGAGCCTGTGCTGGGCCCTGTTGTTGCAGGAGAGTGCCCGAGCATCCCACGCTGTATGTGCCAGGGTCAGGCTTTGCGCAGAGTGTATTGTGCCATTCTTTTCCTTACATATGAAATGAATCAAATCCTATTTGACTAGGAAATGAATGGTGTGCTTCATGAGGGTGAGTTATGAGTCTGGGATTTGATAACCAAATCCTCTCAGAACTGAATTTGAAACGTAATTTAAAGGTAACCTTTCCTCAATCCCTTTACAAATCTTTTTTTCATAATTTTTATTTGATTGATTTCCAGCTTAACCATAGAAACATGATTCTGTATTATGTGCAAATAGATAAGAAAATGATTCAGAACACAGGCTCGTGAGTATCTCAGACACAGCTAGTGTCTGGTAAATTGATCCTCAATTACGGAAGCCCGAGTTTTTAACCCACTTCCATAGGATATAAAGGTGAACTGTGGTATGGATGTGCCTGGCTAAGACATAAGGGCTCAGATCCCTGATCCCTAGCATTGTCCTACAAATACCAGCCTTACCCTAAAAGGCTGAAATGTATGCATCTGTTACACTGGCATTGGGATGCGTACAGGAACTCCCGCCTGGGGGAAACCCAGAGCCCTGAGAATCTGTTCCCAACTGAGTGAGGTACACAAGAGGAAATTATTAGAATCAGATTTTTATGTATGACTGTTAAGGCTTTGCTCTGTCTTTCTGGTGATTTGGGATCCTAAGCTGCTTTTTGTAATTCCACCATTTTCAAAAGCATTTCAGTTCACTCTCAAGCTGTAGATCTTAAATCAAGTCCCTTTCGCTCCCACATCTGCAGCATGCTTCTCTACAATAAGGCGATTATCATGTGAGGAGGGGAAAAGCACTAGAAATAAACAGTAAAAAGCTGTAGGGCAAATGATACTGGATGTTTTTTCTTCACATTGTCTGAGTTCTTTCCCATTGGGAAATTCCCTGAAAGAAATGGAACATATGGCAGTAATAGTTCAGTGGGGTTAAACCCTTAGCTCTGCAATATGCTAAGTTAACTTCAGATGTCTGCTGCATCACTGGCCTTTATTGTGAAACCTATAAGGAAAAAAGAAATCAGCAGCTATAAGAACTGCTGCAGTACATAAAAGATCAGGACCTGTTATTGTCTGCAATTATTCATCTCAATGTGCACGTATCTGAAAAAGAGGAAACAAACGTCTCTTAAAACACATCTATAAAAAGGTTAGGCTCCCCGACTGTTCTGTAAGTTTGTCTATAAACAATAAATTCTGATGGCATAATCGGTCATATTACAGAAAAGGATATGCTCGGAGAGGCCGTTAAAGAGCCAATTAGGTTCTGTTTAAGTGACAACAGTTCAGTCAGTTGAATGAGTGGATTTATTCAGTTCAGTCTCTTTCTGTGAGTCATCAGCTTCCAGATCCAGTGCCACAGTCTCTTGTCATGTTGTTTTCTGCAAAATCAAACCCAAAAATGTGATTTACTTGGGATCTCAAAAAAATAACTGTCTGGCTTCTGTAACTGTCTCAGCTCTTCAGTGTACATCAAGTTGAATTTCAATTTCGAACCTTGTAACTGTTGTTCTTGCTCTAGTAAGACCTTGTTATGTGTTCAAGAAGAGGTGTGGGAAGCTCAGATCAATAGCAATTTTAGAGAACAATACATTCTCAATTAATCTTGCATCTGTTAGGACATGGTTCCTTATGAATCAAAAGCTACAAGGACAATTTGGGCATCATTGATTCGATGGCTTTCTTCCTTGGCAGTCTCTTGGCAGGTATCTATAGAACAAGTCCCTAGTTCTGCTTCCAGACCAGCAGATCTTGTAGCAGCTGCACCTGGAAAGCCTCCAGCTTCTCACTTTTGATGATCTTTGGCAGACTGCCTCTCCCAGGAATTTTTCAGTCATGCTGGATTATCAAGCTCATCCATGTTATTTTGCCAAGTTTTCTTTCTTTGCTCATGTCTGTGCTGTGGCATCTGCAGAGCTGCATCAGAAGGAAGTTTTCTGGACATGGGGCTTTCTGATCTCTGCTATATATAATCCTAGATTTGGGCAATGCTTCTTTTTTTTTTTTTTTTTTTTTTTTTTTTTTATTTGGGCTGGGGGGGAAGGGTCAGTCAGAATAAGAACAGTTTCTCTGGCTTTGGAAACAAGAGGAGATGACCTTCTTTCTGCAGACCGTGTCTCTGAAAACACAGACATGACGAATGAGCAAAGTGGTTCCTGTCTCCCTTGACTGTTTAAATCCTGTGGGGAATTGGTTGCCCTTGCCAGAAGATGGGTGGTCACTCACAAATACACAGTATTTCAAATAGTGCCCAACAATGCTCTCTCCAAGTATAGCTATTCCTGGTCTGTCTCATGAGCCTCCTGGTCAATTGGGCTGTTGATAAAGACTCTTCGACCCCCAAGATTTTCTGAAGCCATGTCTGGAAGATGATTGCCACCCAGCAGGAGGCCTGGCCAAGTGTGTGCATTGAGCACAGCCAGAGGCCCAGTAGTTGTGCTAACCTATTTGACTGGTCTGCAGCCTTCAGTGCAGTTGATCCCAAAATGCTGCTGATCTGCTCTGGGACTTTTTGGAAGGGTCCATTTTTCCTGGGTAGATCCTTTGGGAGCTTTGAGAGTACCTGCCTCCACTCTTAGAGTTTGCATAAAGTCTCACAGGCTCTTCCTGCCAGTTTCATCAGTTCTGACAGTCCTTGGGGAACGTAGGACAAGACTCCAGGTTGATGGTACCACCTGTTTCTGTGTGACGTGCACGGCCTGTCTTCTCTTTGGTGTGGAACATCCCTTTGCCTGAGCATGCCTGTGTTTGGAGATACTTGGAGTCTGGGTAAATAGCAGCATGTGTTGATGTTCCAGATCAGATGTTGGTTTTGATAGGAAGAGGGAGGTGTGTTTGGGCATTGGCAGAAATATGCAGCCACTGCCCTGTCCTGTTCTCCATCAACTGTGGCAGTGGGCACTTGTCTGGGGACCAGGCGTGGCCTGAGGGACATCTTGTTACGGAGAAGATGGTGCTGGTAGCGTCACAGCGAGGGTGGCAGCGCCCGCCTCGCACCACTGACCATCTGAGCGAGGCAGAGCCGCGTGGGAGTATCGCTGCAGCACCCTGCTCTCCCCACGGGCTCTGCTGTGGTACCAAGGGACCTGCTGCCTCCAGTTCCCAGAGGAGAACACCGTGTGAGCGTGCTCTCGAGGAGGCTCCGTGGCTCTGCTGCACTCACTCCTTGGAAATCAGATTGGTCTGAATCCAGGCTCCTCACAGCCCGGTGAAAGCCCTTTTTTCTACAGAGGCCTCCCTCCCGTGTGTCAGGAACTACAAGTCTGACACAAGCCCCATTGTGACTCGTTGTTCAAGTCTCCACTTCCAGCAGGTTTGTTCTAATGAGCTGAAAGACAGAGCAGAGCTGAAACAGATTCTGAACTGAAGTCAGAGACTAATAAAGTGGGGTGTGATATTAATTTCAGCAGCAGCCTTGGCTAGAGCCAAACGTGGCACTTCCAACATCTAATTGGCTTTTAAAAATAAATTAGTCTGGTTTTCATCTGAGTATTTCCCATGCAGGACGTGTGGTGTTTGGCTGTGCCCTATTGTTAGATGGTCCCAACTGCTGTTGAGCGGTAAAATTGCCCAGACCTTTTGACTTTGCAGTCTGCACTATTAGCTATGAGACATTCTTCTGTAGCCTTTCCTTCCCTGAGTCAGTAGAAGCTGATTTCTGTGGTTTATGATGTGGATTCGAGGGAGCAGGATGTGGGAGGCTGGCTACTGGCTTCCATTTATGGGCTTTTAGAAATGAGTGGAGCCATATCTGTTTCTGCTGGCAGAGTCAGGTTCTCTTAAGTATGTGAAAAAGCATTTTTTAAATGGGAATTTGATTTCCTGCTGTCTGGTGAAACCAAGCAGGTTAAAAAAACAAGGAAGAAGAATAGTGGCTGCCTTCCACTAAATGTGTAGGGAACTTTGGAAACCCGTCTTTTTCTTGATCTGTGTACAATGCTGACAGTGAAATTGCTCATAAGAGAGCATCATAAATTAAACTGCAGAGCCTGACACACAGGAAGAGAATTTGGATTCCTTCTGGCCATTATGCTTTAAATTGACGGCAAAGGAGGAGAGATGCGATCCAGACTGGCACTGAGGAGAGGTGTGCAGTTCCCACCTCGCCTCCGCTATAATAATTAGTTTCCCCTGGAAGTTGTGTGTTGGAGATGACCTTGTAACTAAGAGTATTGGCTGCAGTTTGGGAATATTTTAATTGATTAAGATTATTTTTGGACTAGTGATCTTATTAGAAAGGCAGTTGGTTGAGTGGCCCCTTGAGTTCCTATTATCCTTGTAGACAGATGAGCATTAAAAGGTTGGGTCAGAAAGAGCAAGCCCTGTTGTCTTCTCTGAATTTTCTTGGCCCCTTCTGCTTCTACCATCCACGCTTACATTTATGCAGAGTGCTCCAGGGCCTGCGGGGCTCTCTCCCAGCAGAGGTACAAACAGCCATAAATCCTAATTAAAAGGTATGTTTTATTTTCTGGGTTTAAAAATAAAGAAGATTTAAGAATTCTTGGAATTGAGATGTGTGTGTATATTTTGGCCCATCAGGATTAATTGGATTTGCTTCAGCGGTTTGCTGTACTGTGACTGTTCAGTAGTACGCTGCTAAGCAGTTTAAACATCTTTCTCAAATGTATGAGGTTCGTACAACACGTGTCCTGCAATAATTTTGCTCCCGCCACTGTTGTAAATGCCGAGATTCTTCAGGACCCAGCACAGGGAACCGAGGCACGTACTCGGCTGTGCGGTGAAACCGGGCAGCCTGCCCGGCACCGGGCATGCCATTCTCCTCCAGAGCCCTGGAGGTGTTTGAGCCTCGTCTTGTCCTGTGGTGCATATTGTAAACGTGTGTCTCTGGGCACAGAGCAGACACTGGCAGCCGTGGAAAGTTTGGTGCGCTCATAAATCACATCCGTGCCCTGGAAGAGAGCTGCAGATGAGAGTGTCAGGGTTGACCTTCTGGCAAGTGCAAGAGTGATGAGGGGAAGATTGATGCCTAGAGAGAAGAGCTGGGGATTTACAGAGCCTGCTAGGATTAAATCGCCCCTGTCTTAAGCTGGAGTAGGTTTAGCACGGTTAGGGCTTTGGGGGAGAGTGGGAGAGCTGTTGTTTAACCTCCTCCAGCATATAATCCTGGTGTGATCTCACAGACCGTTCCCCACGCCTTTAGGTGTGAGCTGCCCACAATGCCAGCATGGGGCTGCCGGGGCAGAGCAAGGCAGGGCAGTTTGGATTAGGAGAACCCATGGTTTATGGAAAACTGTGGAGAAGGGCGACACGCCAGGGCCCTGGAAGAGAGAGGATGTCACCTGCTGAGTGTGAGCTAGGCATCCATCTTCTAGCAAGAGAGAATCTGGCTGTGAAGCAGCCTTTTGGAGACAGTGGCAGATCTTAGAACGGGGTACCAAAACCAGGCTGGCTGGGGGAGAGAAGGAATCGGTCAAAGGAAGTAATCCTTAGGTGTGAGCATAACTCTGTGTGTGGACTTGCTGAGCATGATTGCTGCCTTGTGAACTGATTCCTAAATCAGTGGAAGTGAGAGTGGTTGTAGGTATTAGGGCATGTAAAAGCTGTAATGTATTAGGGTTTCAGGAAACCACTTAATAGTACGTCTTGCAAAATCTTAGGTGGATAAATAATTAAATTTGGTCTAGATAGTAATATTCCTGGATTGAAATCCTGCTAAAAGGCTGTCAGCAAAAGCTGGTGATGAACAGAAGAGAGGCTTATTTGGGGGAGATGTAAAGCTGAGGCCAAGAGGATCAATATTAGGTCTGTGTGTGTTTTAACATCCTCATTAATGATCTGTAAGAGGGAGCAAGTGGTGTATATACATTAATAAAATCTACAGATAACACTAGAGCTGGAGATGTCTTGAACAAAACTCCACATAGAAGTGCAGTCCAAAGGACCTCATACATTCAGAAACACGGGCAGTGGACAGCAGAAATTGATTACACTTGAAAATAAGCAGTGTATCTGTTTGCATTAAAGTAGCCCAAACCACATGTACCACCTTGACGCCTCCTTCCTGGCACAGGAGGTGGTATGAGGCACAAGCCTGGGGCCAGTTTGCCGTGAGTCTTGTGGGCAGCAAAAACAACTGCAGCTGCAGACAGAGCTGTGTGAAGCCCCGTCCTGGCCAGGCGTGGGTCTTTGCCTGGAATACTGGGTTTGATTCTAATCCTACCTGATTTAGAGAGACAAATTGGAAGGGTTCCAGGGCCAGCCTTCAGTAATGTGTATGCCGTTGCTTGAGCCATTAGGACAGCAACTTGCATAAATGTCTGCCAATTAAGCCTGTGACCGTTCCTGTTGCAGTCCGTGTGCTTAAAGCAGCAAGCGCTTGGGTTGTTTGTGTGGGTATTATTCCAGGAGGCCTCGAGATGAGAAATTTCTGAAATATTCAAGCTTCCAAAATGAAACACTTGTGGCAATACAAAGAGAGAATAGCACCAAGAGTAAATACAGCTGGCTCTCCTGTCCTCAGGGTGCATTAGAACGGGTCCACACAATGGTTAGGATTCTAGTTTTGGTCACCTAAAATTGTCTGGGCAGAGTACTAGTAGCTGCATGGAAACGGCCTTGGCTGACAGGTGTGGGATGTTCTGTTATAAAAAGGTTTTGTTTTTCTGTTTTGAGTGCTTACAAATACCAGTGTTTTAGCAGGGCCAAACAAATTCTCTCTAAAATCATGGGCAGCAGGTGCAGTGCATGGTGGTGACTGGCATGAAGTCTATTGTCTCTCCTACTTCACTGTTTATGTCAGTCTGTAACTCTTTTTGCTCGTTATGCTTATCACACAGCTTTTAATAGTTACAGAATGTGCTTGAATTATGTTTGAAATTCAAATTTCACACACATAGAGAGGCTTGTTTTTGAACCAGTGTTTGTGTCTGAGTAGTAGGGGGGAGGGGCCTGGTAGTGTTTCTTACATATTGTATGCACTCACCATATTTTTTTCCATTACAGCAGGAGTCAAAGGAAGAGAGTGGATTGCAAAAGAAGAGAACAAAACAGCAGCTGGATAGAACAAAGTTTGCTGCTAAAAGAAAAATTGCACGTAGGTCTTGAGTGTGGGGCTGGGGAAGTAGACTGGTGCTGAGCAGCTTCTGCTGTTTGCGTTAGAGATCGTTTCCCTTGCAGAGAGGCTGTGATGTGGCTGGGGGTGCACAGCTCTCAGAGCAGACCCTTCTCAGGAGTAAAATTTGCCTTTCTGAATAGGCACACTGTCACTTGTTTTCTCCTCAGGTGGCGTGTGCACAGGCTGGTGCACTTCCAAAATAAGTGTGTGAGCGTGTTGGTACCTTACTGAGTTTCAAAATCAGTTGAAGCCGATCTGAAAGCACTGTCAGTCACAAACTGCTTTCCCGTTCAGGCCCCTCTGCTGCTGCCTTTCCCTGAAATGTCATGATGCTCTGACCCAGCAGTTGCAGCTCAGGAAGGATCAGAGTCGCAGCTGACAGTTCTCTGAAATTATCAGCTCGTAGCGCGGGGGCAGCTGGAGAAGCCAGCAATGTTGGGCATCATAAGGAAGGGTGTTAAGAACAAGAGATTTGTTTTACGTCATTTTGCTGTTATATAAAGTGTTGTTGCACCCACATCAACAGTGCTGTGTGCAGATCTGGTCTCTGCATCTCAAGGACACGGTGGAATTAGGGGACATCCAGAGAAGGACAGCCCAAGCCATGAAGGGCAGGGAGCAGCTGCTTTATGAGGAGCGACTGAAAAGCCTGGGGCTGCTCTGTTAGGAGAGGAAGGTGGGATCAAAGTTCACATCAGGAAGGCAAAGCATGCAGTCAGTGGAAATAGCGGGAGATAGATAGGTTTAAAACGGGTGAAGGAAAGTAATGCTTCACACAGCATGCAGTGAGCTCCTGGAAGTTTTTGTCACAGGAGGTTGTGGAGGGGTCAGTAGCAGCAGCTTTAATAAGGGATTAAATGCATCCATGGGCAATAGGTCTGTAAACAGATGCCAGAGGCAACAGGCTGAGATGTACCCACTCATATTCTGCAAACAGCATTTCTGAATGCTGGGGCTGTACAAGCAGAAGGGACCACTGAGCATGGACAGGCTTGCCTGTACTCCTTGTACAGCACCACTTGTTAGAGCGGCCAGGCAGGTGGACCATTGCTCTCCCCAGCGGAGCCACGCTCATGTTCTTGTGTGCAGCAAGGCAGCGGTCCAGCTAGCATGTTAAATTCAGAATGTTTTAAAATGGGAGAGATGTTGTCTTCTGCAAACCCAAAGCAATCACTGAACAAAATGGAGCACATGAGTGCTCCACAAGCAGCAGCAGTTGGGCTTGTCAGTCCTCAGAGGGCTTGTGTGAATTAAATTGTTTTTAATAGAGGCCTAAGGCCATAGCATGAAACAGCCTGGCTCTTTGTGGGAGTTAAAACCCACTGTGCATGTCCTGTGTTGAACAAGTAAGATAGCAAAGTCAGAGATGGGGGAAGAATTGGTTTTTGTTTTGTTTTGTTTTTTCCTTTTTTCTCCCAAAAGAAACAGAACACCAAATAAATGCTGAATCCCCCCTTGGAGATGCCATTAAAATGTGACCAAACATATGGTGCTAAGACCAGGGAGTTGCTGAAGTTGGATGTCCTCATTGCAGCATTGAGTGCGCTGGGTTTTGGGAGCTGGTGCTGTGTGAAGTGTCCTCCAGAAAATCCGTGGGAGACAGGGCAGGCTCTCTGGCTACTGTATAGTGGAGGAGTACTGGTGCATTTCTAGATGTTGAAATTCTTGATAATAGTTTATCTCTTCCTGGGGCAAAAGCTGCCCCCTTTTTTGTAGTGTAGCACGCACGTCTGCCTCCTTGAAGTGCAGGAGGTTTTGGGTGCCTGGTGCCACTTGGTTGGAGAGTGGTTGCTTACTTAAGCACGCGTGATGGTGGGTCTGTTCTCTCATTTATGGGAAGCTATAATTAGACTTTTGGTGTTTGCTTTTAGGCAAATTAAGATTTGAAGTAGTAATTATTTTTCTCTGTGTCTTTAAATAAATTCTTTGAGTTGCGGGGCAAATTGGGCTTTTGTAAAGATTCAGTGCTTCTGGGTAGAGCATGTTCTTTCTCCACAGAACTGAAAAATTTCAGATGTTTGCAGACTCTGATTATAAAGTGTATCCTCCCATTTTTGCTTTGTTGTGGTTTTATTAATTTTTAACCTAAACCCATAACTAAAATATATCTGTGACTTTTCATCCTGACAGGATAAATAGAAATACAAAACCTAAAGAAGTGTGTCTCTCTTTTTCCAGAGGAAGTCAGTTCTTTAAAACACATTTGAATGTTTTTACTGCAATTGCACTTTGGTTATGTGGAAATACTGAAATCCTGCATTTCCATTATTTTTGAGTAAATCTCTTATTAGTAAGTGTTAGAACTACAACTAGTGGGGTTTTGCATCTAATTCATTTTTCGAATGTCAAAATGGAACATAAATCGTTCAGCAAATTGCCATATTAGCATTTAAAAAGGCTCTGAACTGGTTTAATTTGTTTAGGGCTGTAATGTCTTAAAAACAGTTTCTCCCAGACCCCTCCTTCCCATCTGTGGGTTTCTTGGATGTCCTGGTCCCCAGAGAGGCGCTGGGATTTCGTGCTGCGTTGGGACGGACGTGCAGCAGGCAGATTTGGGAGTGTGAGACACAGAATTCCCAGGCGGAGCGGGAACGGGCTTCTGCGAGGCGTGTGATGGGTGTGAGCTGAGCGTAAGGGAGAGGGGTCACCCCTCCCGAGGGCTGCGGGAGCCCCGGCCCCGCTGGCACACTCCGGGAGCATGCCTTGCCTCTGCTGCATGCTCAGTGCTCGCTCCTGGAACGCTCCGGAGGTCTGTTTGCACCCATCGGTTGAGGGCTAACGCAACACTCTGGATTTCTAATTGTCATATATTATGACCGGTGCAATCAACATCAAGTTTAATAAAACACACGGAGCTGAGAAATGATCAGATGTGGAACACAAAATGCTGTCAGCTCTGGACCGCTCAGCTTAAAGCAGGTGTTGTCTCCTGGAAGGCATGAGCAGAGCTGCTCTCTGCTCTTCCCACGGTAATGCCAGGTGGATTTAAACTCAAGATTTCCCTATCTCCGGAGCACCTACTCAACTGGAACATGCACTAAGTGCATCTTGTTTGTCTCTGGTTTCTTTGCCAGAGGCAGCATTTGTCTGGCACGTTCCCTGTCCCCAGAGGGAAAATTGCTGTGCCAGGGAGGGAAAAGAAAACAAAATGTACAGTAGTAACTCGCCAAAAATGTTTCTTTTTTTTAAGCTTCATGGACGTTGATAGCCTGAATTGGTGAACACTCAGGCCTCCGTTTTAATTTAAGCACATGGAAAATCTTGTGTTGTGGGGCACTGATCATGTGCACCAGTTATGTTACACGTGTCAGAGTTTGTAGCGTCTGGCCTGATTGTTGTGATGTTTTGGGCAGGGAAACAAATCGGCGCACACTTACTGAATGCTTGGGAGGTGTTTGGTATTGTGGAAATGCTGCGTATTACTGCTGTTCTCGGGGACAGAAGCCTTCTTCATACACTGGACTGTCATGTGCTTTCCATTAAAGGATGCATTTTTTTTCCCTTGGTCCCTCCTGGCTGCAACATCACAGACTGACTTTGTCCAAGGACAAAAGATCCCCATGATCCCCTGAGTGCACTGCAGTCTGCCTACGCTTCAACCTCTTTCTTAATTTTTAAAGAAATTTAAAAAAAACCCAACCAAACAACCTAAAGCTATGTACTGATTTAGTAGGACATATAATGGAATCTATGACTGGTAATCAGAACAGTCCAAAAATGCTTCAAATTCTGCTTGGGTGGGGGAGAGCCAGCCTACCATTAGCAATAAGCTGGGGGAAGGGCAAAGCAAAGCCAAGCCTGCTGCTGTGAGGATGCACCTCACTGCAGCAGTGCCGTGATGCACAGGCTGGGCTAAGACCAGTGCAATCCCGGGCTGCTTCAAGGGAGGCTGTGCTGCTGTGTTTTGGTGGCAGCTGGTAGGAAGATGAGAGGTTAGAAAATGGGAGCCTGCAACTTCTGAATGCATCTTTATCTCAGGAAATGTCAGGCTCCAGAACTGGCTGTAGTGGAGGCATGTTTTGTGCTTGGGCAGCCTTCCTGTTCAAATCGTGTCTCTAAAAGCACTTGAAGCCCATCAGAGAGTAAGCCTTTTGGTTCATGCATGAGATGGTGCGTGCAGGATTCTGCCTGAAGGAGGGAGCGGGTTTTGAAGGAAATCTGTCAATTTGTTTCAAGTGAGAAGATGTATTTTTCAGCTCCTGAGAGTGCTGTTGAGTTGTTTTCCAAGCTGCGCTCCATTCTGCAGGCATTGTATATTTTAAGCATAGTGCAAGTGTTGGATTGAATCTGAGCAAATAAGTGTTTTCCAAAGTAACTAACTGCTTTGTTTCTAAATAGCCAGTCTTGGCTTCTGGTTTGCTCTGAGTGAGGAATATTTCAGGAAGAAATTTTCTGCTGAAATAGCAGTTGCAACTGTAGAAAACCTGTTTCCCATGCATGACTGACTTAGTGATGCAGTGGAGTGGTGATGTGAGCAGAAGGGGGATGTATGCATGTGAAAGATCCTCCATAATACCACCAAGCAAGTAACATTATCCCCCACAGAGCTTTCCACCTGCGGCTCAGGGTGAACAACATGTAGCTCTTTTTCTCTCAGGTAGGTCTCCTGTGGTATTGCAGGTATCTGCATGTCAGAAGGCAGTGAGACGTGCTATTTGGCTAGTAAAAGATAAGAATATTTTTTACTAGCCAAATAACGAAGATGTGTTCTTTATCCTGCCTTGCTGCTGAACCTATCTGATATAAAAATGGTCACACTTTGGAAATCTGTCCTTTTTCTTCCCTCCTTGAACCTGTGTTCTACAGCTGTAGAGTGTGGTGTTTGATGAGGGCAAATAAAATGCCCTGTTGCAGTTAACGTGCCCAGAGTTAGGCTGCTGTAGAAACCCTCACTGAAGTTCCTGACTTGGCTTACTCTTTTAGTTTAGCGTTGGCTGCTCTGGTTTTGGTGATGCCTCTTCAGGAAAGCTGAGGTTTAGATGTTTTGCTCTGCGTTCCTCCTGGGGAGGTGGGACCCTTGGACATTTCTCCCAACATGTTGGATATACATTGGGTGTTTACATACACCTGCACCTGTGACTGAACGTTATCTTATTTTTTCTGCCGTAGAGATGACTGAAGAGGAACAGTTTGCACTGGCCCTGAAAATGAGTGAGCAAGAAGCCAGAGAAGTGAACTGTCAGGAAGAGGAAGAGGAGGAGCTCTTGAGGAAGGCCATTGCTGAGAGCCTTAATGTAAGTGTGCTTCTGTGAAGAGGCTTACTAGGGTTCTTCAGCAACATTGCTTTCTGTGCTTGCTTTACCACACTGCACAAAAGAAGGTTTTACTGGGGCCCTAGCTATTTCCAGAGTGAGCTGGAACTACAGCAGTCGCAGAGTAGTTGTTTTGTACCATTCCTAGTGAGAGTGGCATATGAAGTCTAACCTCAGCTGTCCCCTATTTTGAGGTACACAGTTCTGATCGGGGTGAGGGGGTGGGGGTCTGCAATCTGGGTGACAGCTGCCAGTGTGCTGGGGGAGCCCTTGGTATGCTGCTGTGTTGGCAGAGAACATGCCTCTCGGAAAATCAGCCTTTTGTTTTTCAGAGCTGTCAGCCCTCGGACTCCCCTGATTCAACCCCTCAGTTGTCTGCAGAAGCACTGGGCTTGCAAGGCCAAAGCCAGTCTGCCGAGAAAGGAAGTTCTGAGATCCTGGGAGGTCTGACACTTCGCTCTGACACCCCTCGCTCCGATTGCAGCCCCTGCTCACAGAGCACCAGAGCTGATGGGAACGGACAGATGGATGTCGCCCGGAGCCCCCTGGTAGTGTTGAGGAGGTTAAGCCAGGAAATTGTTGAAAGCTCACTAGTATCCAGCATAATCGTGTCTCCGGGGAAGGGCCAGCCTGTGACAAGGTCAAGTGAAAAGCCTTCCTCACCAGCGAAAAGTGATTCTAGTAACATGTTATCCGGCACTCTTGGAGAGGACCTCATCTCTCTGAGTCCCACCTTTGGCAGGGTGACTTCAGGCTCCTGGCAACTGACACCTCGGAGACTGTTCACAAGTCCCTCCAGCTCTTCTGAAGCAACAGGCCATGAACCAAAAGAGCAGCCCCTGCCCTGCACTGGCCATTCTGCAGGAGAGGCTGGTGCTGGGAGCTCAGCCACGGTCTGGAAGAGCTGGACCACGGAATGGTGTGGCAGCCCCAGGAGGAGTGGTGGAGGAGCAGGTACCAAACACAGCTTGCAGCCCAGGCATGCCACCAAAGTCTGTGTTTCCACAGAGGAAGCAGAGCAGAATGAGGTGCCCGACAGTACCCCTGAGCTTTGCGTACCGAGTGTGGCGGAGGAGAAGCACAAGCAGGAGGAGGCGAGAGACACAGTGCACTATTACTGGGGCATCCCCTTCTGCCCCAAAGGGGTGGACCCCAACCAGTACACCAAAGTCATCTTGTGTCAGCTGGAGGTTTACCAGAAGAGCCTGAAGCAGGCTCAGAGGCAGCTATTGCATAAGAAGGAGTTTGGTAACCCAGTTGTGCCCGGTTCTTCCTTGAGCCAAAACGATCTTGGGAAAGGAGAGCAGATAAGCAAGGAGAACGGGGTTGCTGATGATACAGAAGATGGAGACCCAGATGGGCAGAAGGAGTCTGAGAGCATCACCTGGCTCCTCCCTTCAAAGAAAAGGGAGACAGAGAGTCCAGGGCACAGCATGGAAGAAAAGAACTCCACTTCTGATGATGAACCGACCACAAGCTACTGCCAGGTAAGAGCTTTGCTGCTGAGCAGAGGTTGAGCAGTCCTGCTCTTCTGTCCATTTTAGCATTCAGACCCTTCTGGAAGGCAGGCACTGCTGTTTAATGTTCCTCTTCAATGTAGGGACTTCCTGCCCTAGCCACATGGCTTACTGTGAAAGAGCGAGGAAAAGCGTACAGGCTGGTACCCAGCTCACGAATGATGGGGACCATCATGCAGCCTGGCAGTCGTCCATTAATGCACCACTGAGATAAAGACTTCCAGCTGACTTGTCCTTCTCAAAAGGGTGTAGCCTGTCAGTGTGTCAGGGTAGGGAGCACAGAGGTGATGCTGACCACTGCCAGCTCTGGCAAATCATCTTATAACCCTGTGGCCGTGTGGGGAGCTCTGCGTTTTCCTTTGCAGACAGGGATGTGGCTTTTGTCCTTGCAGCACAGCCTTTCCTTTTTGCACCTCCGTGCTCCTCTGCGTCCGTACGTGCTTCACCCTTGCAAGTGCTATTTTTCCCTCGTGATCCTGTGGCCAGGGGAGTCTCTGTGTGCTCGCAGGTGTCTTCTGCCTGCCCAGGGTGATCTGTCATCCCGGCCATGCTCATTGTCCTTGTTCTGGTGTTTGGGCACCTTCTCTCCGGCTCGCAAGTTGGGTTTGCTAGACGCTAGGTGTCAGCCTCTGTCTCCATCAGGGCTCTCTTGTTGGAGCGGAAGGCAGCTTTCTGTCACTGCTAAGTTTAAACAGATTGCTAGTCAGATGAAGTATTTATTACTGCTGTATTTTAGGTTTGTGTCAGCCTTTTCCAACCCTCATTTTTCATAATGACTTCACTCCCGGATCATTGTATAACTTTATCTTCTCTATGACTGAAGCCTCGGCTCTGTTGTTCCTGTTTTCAAGTGTATTTGATCATTTACCCTGGTGTTAGAAAGATGCTTAACTTGTTTTGTGATATTTATATTCTGTCTTGTAATATTGAACACTTAGCAAAAGTGTCATGTCTGCATTTTCTGGTTGCAGAAAAAGAGCAGAGCAGCCTGTGCTGAAATGTGACTTTTCATGACAGTGCTTTGGCTTGGGTTTAGCAGATACAGATTTAAACAAGCCTTAGAGGTGACCTGCAGAGGAAAGAAACTGACTTATGCCCTTTTTCATTTCCTTAGGATAGATATGAAAGACCTGAAAGGTTCTTAAGGCAAACAGCTTTTTTTTTTTTTTTCTTCTGTGTCTTTTCCTTTGGAAATGAAAGTGTCATTACTCTGGAAGATTGGGGTGACTGCAGGTCTATGGAGGTGTACACTAAAGCCCTTGGAAAGCTACAGCAGCTCGGAGGGGGGTGAACTTTTAATCAGTATTGAAAATTGTGTGGTATATTTTTTTATATTATCCGTTTAATGCTAATACCTAATTAATTCTTGGGGAGAAAAGAGGTTTTAGTGGTGCTGAGTGGGAACTTGTAATGTACTCATCCTGACCACAACAGCTCTTTCAAAGAGCTGTAATGTGTATGTAGATGTAGTCTTTCTGATATTTTTAAGGTGCAAAAATAAGGAAAGGGAGAAGGAGCAGACTGTAAAATTTCAACCCTAGCCCAAAATTTGCCAGTCTTTTATATATGTGAGAGAAAATAATTTCTAAATGCCCTTTCATCTGCCTTATTACACCCAGCTTGAGAGGTTGCTCCCTTCTCTCGCCTCTCTGTGCAGTTGCACACTGAGGCCAGTGCAGGTGGTTTACTTGCAAGATCGATATGTTAGATGTTTGCTTGTGCCTTGTCTCCATTTTTTGCCTTCTATCAAATACAATTTCACCAGCAGTGACAAAGGAAGGGCCCAGAGCAGTCATGTCCCCTGTGTGCTGCATCGCTTGAGACCCCCGCTGCCTGTCCTGCCCTGGGGCTCCCTCAGTGCTATCAGGGCTGCTTTGCTGGTGGGGGGATTTTAGTTTGTGCTGAGGCTAGAAACCATCTACAGTGACTCAAAGCTGTCCTTGGTAAAGCCTCGTGCTGTGTGTTGTACCAGTGAAATGAAGGTGCAAATGATATGCTTGAGGAAGCCTGCCTGTACCCCTGCTTTGAAACCCAGAGTGGGCAGAGACCTTCCACCGTGACAGTGGCCAACTCCTGCGACTGCCCCTGTCCTGCCCTGGGGCTCCCTCAGTGCTATCAGGGCTGCTTTGCTGGTGGGGGGATTTTAGTTTGTGCTGAGGCTAGAAACCATCTACAGTGACTCAAAGCTGTCCTTGGTAAAGCCTCGTGCTGTGTGTTGTACCAGTGAAATGAAGGTGCAAATGATATGCTTGAGGAAGCCTGCCTGTACCCCTGCTTTGAAACCCAGAGTGGGCAGAGACCTTCCACCGTGACAGTGGCCAACTCCTGCGACTGCCACCCATAGCCAAGGGATGTTTGCACAGAGCAAATCCTGGTTGTCAACTCTCATAGCCTGTGAACCTGCACTAATGAACTTCTGTGCTAATAGAATCAATTCCTTCATAGCCTTTCAAATAAGGTTAGGGGACTTTTGGTCTTTAAAAGATTGAGGGAAAATTCTGGAGAGTTAGGCTGGTGACCTGAATTAGTACTATACCTTATAACATACATACTAGGAAAACCAGAAACAGGACCCAGTATTCATGACCAGGGCAGAAGCGTTGTTAAGATATGCACAGATCAGGAAAAAGAGAAATAGGCATAAGGGGGGAGGTGTGGTATTTTATGTTAATGATGAGTTAGGCTGTGAAGAAATAAAGAACAGCATAGATAAAACAGAGTATTTGGGGATTGGAGTCACTGTAGGGAAATCTGACAGAAGTCTTTGTTTTGAGGCTTGCTGGGGAAGGACATCAGCCATCCAGGAGTGGAGCTAATCGAACTTGAAACCTATGGTAGAAATCAAACTCGGAGAGTTTAATAGACTCAAGGAACATGGAGGAAAACCCCTTGGATTTCTTTGAGAACTAGCATGAGAAATCACAGGCCTGACAGCAAGAACTGCTAATAAACCATTGTAAATCCACCTGATTAGAGAATGGCAAGTGTAACGTGTACACTGAGGAAGAAGAAAGGGATCTGAGTAATGACTGGCATGTTAGCCTGACCTCGGCAGTGCATAAGGCTTTTGAACAAAATTTAAAGGAAGGAATAAGCGGAGTCATAGAGCTCAATGAAAAATGGGATAAAATGCACACAGATTTACCTGCTGTAGATTGTGCAGGTTAATCTGTTCCCCCTCTTTGATGGGATAGCTGATTTCCCAGTCAAGAAAAATGCAACAAATCTTATCTATATGAAATTTCAGAAGAGTATTTCTCATGGTCAGACATCAGCTGTACCAGATGATCAGGTCATCCTGGCTCAGGCAAATAGATTTTAAACTGGAGTAGGTGAGGGTTGCTGGGGTGCTTGTGGGAGTGCAAGGGGATACTAAAATCCTTGGGCTGTTTAGCTCAGTACAAATGGATTGGAGAAGAGCTATAGTTGCTGCCTACAAGTATATCAGGATAGATGGTAGGAGCATGCAGAGGTTGTGGAAGGTGATGGACAGGGTTAGCATGAATAGGTGGGCATGGACTGTCCAGGAACATGCCTAGGCAGCAAGGTAATAGAAAGTACTGCCAGGCATCACTGCAGGGAGCTACTGAAACACCTTACCAAAAGGAGTGATAGAGGGAAAAAGCTGACTATTTCAGGATGAAAACTTAGGCATTTTCAGAAAAAAATACTTAACAGACTGGGTGCGATGTCATGGACAGAATCTGATGACCCAGCAGGTCTGGGTTAGCTATGTACATTGTTTTATATAATACCAGAATTTTCCTTTCCAGGCCTCCCAGGTGCTGCCTGCAGAGGATGTGCATGAAGAGGGGGAACCCATGCAAATTGCACAGAGGTGAGTAGGGTGAATGCAGAGCTTGGGGCTCTTCTGCTGTCCCTGCAGTATTTTGGGGTGCAGTCTCGTTGGGGCTCGCTGCAGGGCCTGGCAGCAGGGCTTGCTGGAAAGACTGTCTGCAATCGCTGCTGTTGGATATCCCTGGAAATACATGGCTTTGGAGCAGCGTGGGAGAGATCAGATACTCTTGTTGCTTTATAAAACGTGCAAGGTGCATCCTAGTACAAGTACCAGGACTTGATCCTTGCCCTCTGAAGCTAATGTATACGATGTGGTAAAGCTGTGGAGGTGGATAGGTGAGCTGAAGGTGAGTTATAGCGATTCCATCACGTGGCCTGTCTGGGAACACGCATAGGCAGCATGGTGGAGGGTTTACTGGATTTCTGTGTGTATTTTTATGTTCTTGCCTTACTGCTGAAGAGGAAAGAAGGGAGGAGGAAGCCAGACGGCACTGCCTATCAGCCAAAGATAGAGTGCAGTGCTCCAGAAAAGCCACTTCAGCAGATGACAGGTGTGGGACAAGTCAACATGATTTTCTTCAGATTTAAGCCTACTCCTCTTTTCCTTTTTTTTTTTTTTTTTTTTCTCTCTCCTTCCTGTGGGATGCAATTCTGCAGTGAAGGCTGTGGGAGAAGAAGGGCAAATGGGAGAGGATTCGAGGAGCAAGTTACAAGAGAGGGCAGATAATGTCGTGCTTTTAATTTGCTGAGTTTTATAATTTAAACTTGCTTTGGAACGAAACTGCCAACTTTCCTCTGATCTAACAGCACTTGGCCTGAACAGGTAATATCAATGTGCAGAGAATGAAAATCCCTCTCTCTTGCACCTTTCTAACAAGCTTAAAGCTTGCCTTGGGGTGCAGGAGGAACCTGTGTCTGATGAGACTGTGACAGCTGAGGCCTGAGCTTGTGTGCTTGTGTAGAAGGCACCGAGGTGTGCGCTCTGCAGCGCTGGCCCCCGCCTGCTTAAGGCAGAAGAGGCCAGGGCTGAATATGGAGAGAAAGAGACCTCTTTCCTTTGGTTTAGCTGATGGGGTTAGTTTGGGACATTCCCCAAGCCGCCCAGGAGCTTCTGGCTGCCCCCCTTGGGGCCGGGACGTACCTGGGTGCCGTGGCCCCTCCTTGAGCAGCTGGCACATCTGCAGCAAGGCAAGAAATGGCTGCTGTCTTCGCAGTTTTGTGCACATTAAGTGTTGCCATCTGGCTCCTGGTAATTTGCCAAGCACGGTCCTCTCTTGGGTGAGGCTCAGGCACCCCGGCCGGCTGGCCTCAGCAGCACTTAATAGGGAAACACGGCTCTGAGCTGTCTGGAGGTAGTGAAGCAGTTTAGGAAGCAGCAGCAGTGAGAAGAGGCTTCTTTGCTTTCTGTGGGCCGCCCTGCCTGATTGTTTTATGCTTTGTGTGGAGCATGGTAGATTGGGGTTTTAATAAATGATTATAGGCTTTGTTACCAGGGGATAGTTGGTGTAGCAAGAAATGTGGTTTGACTTCAAATTGATTAGCCCATTTTATAAATGTCATAGCAAGTTGTTTTGTGTGAGTTCTTTTGAAGTGAGCCCTGATGTTAGACGCAAAGTAAAACATGCTCAGCCTGGATTCATAACAAATGCTTTGAGATGCTTTATTTAGAGAGAAAAGCCACTTGTGATTTCCTATCAGAATTTTGTTATTTATCATAAATCAGCAGTGGCTGTTCTCTCTTCTCTAAGGCCTGTGGCTGAGCTTAATAAATCTTCTATTTGTCAGTATGGGGATTCATGCTTTTAAAGTGTGTTCTTGCATACTTGATCAGACTAATCAGAAAGCCACGCAAAGCGCGGAGCGTGTCAGCATGGGTGCCAGACTTACTCAGCAATGCCTGCCTGTTTCGGAAAGACACTGTGTAGTGTAGGGGGAGGAAAAAAAAGGAGGAATTCAAAGGTCAAAACAAGAGAAGTGATACCCGGTGCTGCTTGGAGGAACTGCTGTGCTAATGCTGTTAGGATTTTGCTGCAGGGAAGCCTTGCCTTGTGTTGCATCCGTGCTGCTTCTGGCTGCCGTGCACAGTGATACAGAAGAAAATTAGCAGTGTGAGAAGGGAGAGGGTAATGCAGGATAAAGCAAGTCTGTGTCTTTCCTCTCTGAGGATTTCCTTCTCCAAACAGAAAAAAGCACAGTGCTGGTACCTGCTCAACTCCCAAATCTCCTAAGAGTAAAAAGAATCGAGAATCCCACAGTTGTGAGCAGGCATTTTTGCTTTCCTGACATGAGATAGTGACCCTTCGTGCCTTTTTGTCAAGGGCTTCTAGAAGAAAAGATGTTCTCTTTGAGGTTTTTGCTTAGAGCAGCATTTTATACCCATATTTTGCTGTTATCCAGGTCATTTCTGGCTCTCTGATATTGACCACTTGGAAATTATGGCATCGTCTGCTGTTCTGGACTGCATGAGACAGGCGGGTGTGTGCTGTCACGCCTACTGGACTGGAGATTTATACTATATTTATATTTTGAACAGCATCTCCATGTTGACCCCACTTGGCAGTAAAAGGAGCCCAGATATTGCCACAGAAAACTCTGCTGAAGAAGAGATCTCTGTTTGCCCAGGTAAGAGGAACATGAGAATGTTCTGAATTTTGCACCGAAAGTTGCACACTTATAAAATTCAGAGAAAAGAGAATTTTCAAGTTATTTGAAAAAAAAACAAGATTTCTTTTCTAGTTCTGTTTGTCAGGGCTGAAATTACCCAGGTAATTTAGTTTAATTCCCTGGTTTCGGACCCATGTTCTCTAAGACAGTTCTGTGACCAGAGATTGCAGGGGATCTGCTGCTGGAAAGACACCAGGATGTACAGTGGTATGGAGGGATCACTCACATCAAGGTGTCAGGAGTGATCTCTTCAATGCAATCAAGCAATATTCAGATTTTTCATTGTCAAGATATATGTAAAGCATGAGAACTGAAATAATTTTTGTCTTATGTTAATTAAACATGTTTGGGACCAATGAGTTTTTCTTCCTTGGTCTCTCTTACCATGTTTGAGATTTTCTGGTCCAGGGTTTTAAATGAAAAATTTAATGACAAGACCACTCCTGTTCATGAGCAGCTGTAGAGAGAGTTCATGGTGGTGCTTGGAGGCATATTTTGTTGCTAAGAAAAATTTGGAGGTCTGAAGAAGGTGCAACAGTGAGGCAGACTGCAGAAAGAGAGCTCCGTTTGTCTTGATGCAAGGGAGAGCTCTATTTTTGCTTTGTCTCTATCCCAGCAAGTGTCCCACGCACTTTTCTTGTGTCTAGTCTCACTCCCCATGAAGCTGCAAAGATGCAGTGGCTTTGTCCTCACACCACCGTGCTGTGACTTTTAACCCCTCATCTGGCTGTGTTGTTGCACATTGTCTGATAACATTTGTGGCAAGTCTAAAAAATGTTTTGAAGCTGTGAAAATGCTTTTAAGAAATGGGCTAAGTTACATCAACAAATGAGGTAGTTTGGGGGCTGGAAACCTGCGCTGACTTGGATGTGTTTTTCTGCAGAGACCCAGCTGAGTCCACGGGAAGCTATTGAGGCGGAGAGAGAAGAGCTCTGCTTGGGCAGCAGAGATGCACCTGTGCAGGTAAAAGAGCCTGAAGTTGGGGAAGGGTCCTGTTTCCATTCCTGCCTTCTAGACCTTGGTTCAGCTGGGCTGTGCTAGCGTTTCCCCTTCAGTAGCTGGGAGATTGCGTTTCTGCTGTTGGGATCCTCACAAACACTTCCCTCTTCACTTCTCCACTGGTTCATAACTCCAGTCCCTTTTGGCTGGGGGCAGTGTGCAGCTGCTTCTGGAGCCTTTCAGTCCTGTAGCTGGAGAGTTGTTATCAATTCCAGCTCATTCTTTTGTACATCACACAGTGCTGTGCTGGAGGATGTCATCGGTGTGGACAGCAGTGCTGTTGCTTGCCCATGCTCAGAGGTTTAGTGCCGTGATGGTCAGTGATGCAGAGGGACTCCAGGAGCTGTCCTAGTAAGCCTCAGTCGCTCATGTTGTGACATGCGTTTCCCTAATACAGTCCTCTGAACACTTTGGTGTTTGTTCTCCATAGATCATCTCCAAGAGGAGAGGTTCACCCAGAGACTGGGCTGGGATAAAGATAACATTGGAGTGTTGAGGGCTGCTGGTGGTTTGCAGTCCAAGCAGTGACCTGAGCCTGGTAATCTTGATTTCTGTGCAGTAACAGTTAACAGCAATAGTAAGTTAGTGGCAGGGCCATCTCCTTACCTCCCGATGCAGATGTGTGCTGTTGTGCAGCTCCTTTTCCTGTATTGTCACACCTGTGCAGCAATTGCTTTGCAGCTGTCGCTGTACCGACATCTGACTTCAGTTCCTGCTTCTGATAAAACTCCCTTTGTCTATTAATTTAGAGAGTGATATCAAAGGGGTTGCCAAGTACTCCTCTGGCAGGGTACATGAATACAGAATCGTACAGCTCTTGACAAGAGGATTCATTTGTGGAAAGCTCATTCTGTGAGTCTGCAGCTCCGATGTCTCATTGTCACAGGCCTCTTAATAAACCAGCTTCTGCTCTCGTGTGCCTTTCATTCTGCAGGTATCTCAAAGCACTGCTCAGTCAATTAGAGACTGCAGCAAGGAGAGGCAGCAGTCCTGTGCTGAGCCAGGTAGCCGCAGCCACCAAAGCGCGTTCATGACCCATTTGGCTGTGGCCAGGACACTGCCCTGTCCCTTGGGCTTTGCAGAGGGTGCCCTGGGTCTCACACCTCTGCCTAGATGGCGCAAGGTGATCAGCCCAGTGCTCGGGAGCCCTGCGGTGGGGCTTCCTAGGGCTTATTTGACATTATCATTGGCAGGTACCGGTCGGGAGCCTGCAGCCCCCCCGGGAAGACAGCAGAAACAGTTACAGAAACAGTTACAGAAACAGCTAGCATGTGCATCATCACTTAGCATGAAGCGAATGTAGACTGCTGGGACTGACTTCTTCCTATCAGTTGCTGAGCCACGACACAGGAGTCTTGTTGTTGAGCTCAGCCTCTAGCATTGCTCTTGGCTGGCCATTGGCTGCAAGTACTACATCTGGTAGGCAATTTCCTCTGCTAAAGAGGAGAGGCAACAGTCTCTGCCTCTGACGGGGGTGATTGGTTCTGCAGTTGAGGTTTTCCAGACTTACAGCAGGGTTTTGTACAAGCGTTTTTGGGACCGTAGTGTCTTTTGTTACAGAATGTTGCATTTCCATTTAAAATTAGTAATTTACCACTGAATGTAGGCGGGCAGGGTGTGCAGAATCAGTGATCTAAGATTGCTTTTAAAATGGCAGCTAGAAGGAGCAGTGCCTGCTGCTTTTCCCATCGTATTTTTTTATGTGTGTTGTCTGACTAGGATAATGCAGGTTTGATCTGATCATTCATATCTGACACATCTTGTTTTTTACGGCTCCTCTGTGTGACGCCCCACGGTGAGGACTTCGCAAGATGTAGTGACACTGGGATGTGAGAGCAGGGTATGAGTGCTAATGCTGTAAGTGATGTACTTCAACAGCCTGTGTTTGGCTGGAGGAACTCTTGTGGCAACTCCTCCACAGAAATCCAGGGCAGAGAGCCTCCCTGGAAATGAGAGGTGTAACTGGGGCTCGGTGCCGTAACCTTTCAGGCAGTGTCTGGGAGAAATGCGTTTTGTGAGTTGGATTCTCAGTTTAAGAACCAGTCCTGCAATTTTTTGCATAGCTCCTCCGAGTCAACAAAGCACCCTCCTTCCCTTTAGGACATAAAGATCAGGATCAGACCCTCATTTGGAAAAGCAAGTAATAAAATGAGTAATACGACAAAGCCGCTCCAGTGGCACTGAGCATCACGGCTGACCCCAATTACTGGTTCCCTGAAATTATGCCGTTGGAGGGAAGCAGACAGCAGTTTTGCTGCATACTGTACATGTCACTGCTTAGCCCTAAGAACAGAAAACACTCCTACATTATTTTTCTATATGTTTCTTCTACATGGTTAATATTTAAATAACTTCTTAAAATCATTGTGAGGAGAGGAAAGTTCTTTCTTAATGTGGAGAAATCCTGTAGTAAGCCTGACTAGGCAGAGATACAGTTATAAGTGAGATGGCAGGAATCTGCTGCCTCTTGGGAACATCAGTAGCATAGGGAGCAGGCTGTAACTCCGCAGGTGGGTAGTGGAGCAACTTGCAGCTCTGTAACCCATGCAAAAAGAGAGTATCGGTAAGTAGTAATGGCACCCGGAGAACAAACATGGACTGTGACATTTTGCCCTGGCGAAAAGCCACCACTACTAATTTTGTGTGACATGGATTTTTAATGGTATTGCCTCTCTCCTTGATCTGTGTCCCCTCTGATGACTGCTCCAGCCACCTCCAGAGAGGAGGAGCTTCCCAGTGATCTCTCCAGACTCCCTAAGAGCACAGCAGCCTCCTTTCATCCTGGGGAAGCTGTGTTCCCAGACAGTGCTGCCTGTGTAGCGTGGATCATGTCCAGAAACTGATGAGCACAAGTCAGGTGTTGAACTCTTGCTTTGCCCCATGAATTTTCCATCAGTTTCGCTTCTGAGCTTTCCTGATTAATGGAAGCTTTGCCATTTTTCTGCGGTAGTACAGGTGATGTTTGCCTTAAATGGTGTGCATGGCTGTGCAGGGAGGTTTCACCACCATTCAGAAGGACGTGTTGCCTTTGGAAGAAGAATTAGTTACTAGTGCTGCACATTTTACTCAGCCAGTGGTGTTATTTCTGACCAGTATGTGATGAGGGTAGAATAAAAATTTCCAAGAAAATTTGAGTCCGTGGGAGGATGAGTAGCTACCAGACAGCACAGAGCATTGCACCTAGCAAACAAAAAGAGAAACGGCACAATTAACTGTCTGGTTAATTTTTCCTTCTTCTTAGGCTGGTGGAGATGAAGATGCTGGCAGGCCTGTGTCTGAGTGCAGTCCTACAGCTGCTGACCATGTGTCATGCCCACTGTGTGACCAAGGCTTTCCAGCTACGGAGATCGAGCTGCATGCCATGTACTGCAACGGCATCGTGGGAGAGCAGGCTGGCGTGGACAGTCCAGGTCTGCCAAGTGCTGCTTCTGTGTGTTTGCTCTTTGTGCTCATCCCCCTTTCCTGTTACTTGTGGCCAGGTGCTGCTGTCTTGTTCCTCTTGGGATATTTGGTTCATGGTGTGGCAGGTAGGGAGGCTTGTCCACTCTGCCTTGTTCCATCTCCGGGCCTTCCAGGAGAGTGTTATTGTAGGCTCGTGTGTTTCCAGCACCTCCTGCACAGAGACATCTTCTCTCCGATCGACTTCATAATTCATTGTGTTATTAGTCCCTTGGAAAGTGTATAAGCCAAATAGTACTACAGGGATCTAGCCCTGGATGCTTCAAGCAGTACTCGTAAGACATGTCTATTGTGTGTTTTGTTGAGGACCTGCAGAGAATCTGCCAGTGGTAGAAAGCGACAGGCTCCCGAGCCATGCGGGTGAGCGTCCTTCAGGGCTCTTGAGAAGGGAGAATGTTCTGTACCGCTCCAAGCACGGCCCCCACTCTGCAATGAGTGACATTTGTATGTGCAAAAATGGCTTGTTCAGCTTCAAGAGATTGCAAAAAAGTTTCCCTCTTGTTCCTCTAAAATTGCAAAATGATAGCTATCGATCTGGGAGCTTGGATTTTTCTCCTTCATGTGAAGAGCAAGGCATAGAATCACGGTCGGAATGTCTGTATTAATCCTCTTTGCAGTCTTCTCCATATCAGTTCTCCATAGCCAACCTTTGTAGAGCTTAAGTGAACAAATACACTGGTTGGATATCAACATATTCAATAAGTTATGTTTTAGCTGCTGCTTGAAATGTAAAGTCTGTGTTAGCACAGTGTCAGGTAATATCAAAGTAGTAGCTTGTAATAAGATTAACTTTTCAAGTTGTGAATATATAATTTTCGGTTACATACTAGGTTATTAAATGCAACCTAAATATATGATGTTTAAGCAATTTGAGCAAATCAGAGCTAGTACAAGAACTGTAACTTGTGCATTCCTCTAGCAGGAGGAAGTTTTACCATGTAGTTTTAATGCAGAGTTGATGTAGTTTTAAAATACAAGGTCCCTGTTACACTAAATATTTGGGGATATGACATGAGTTCTGTCAAGATAACAGGAGCCAGAGTAGTGGCTGATACTGCTTAGTGCTTAATTTTGGTGGGGACTTCTCTCTGCAGGCACAAATCAGCAACTAATGCAAAATATTCAAGTCAGGCAAATCGCAAATTAGCACAGTTTCTCTCCCATCCTCAACACTGATAAAGGTCTTATCCATGCTACAAAACGGAGCAGAATTTTTAGAATGCCTTTTATCAGGAATGTCTTTGGCCCTCTGGTAATTGGGTCCCTGGTGTGGCTGGACTGTGAGTATATCAATTGATCCTGGGGAATCCTGACTGTGATCAGGAAAAGGCTTTGAATTCTTTGGCGGTGCGAGGGAATTTGTTGTTTCCTTTGGTGTTGGCTTTCAGCAAGGCAGAGTTCAAGGCTGGCCTCTCCACTCTGCTTCCAGACTGGTCTCCTTGGGGATATTTGTAAGGGTAGTTATTTTGGAATTGCTACTCTGCTGTTCTGGCTTGTTCAGAACAATCTGCCTGTAAGAAAACTAGCCTGGAATAAAAGGGATTTTAGTCTACAATAATGGCTCTAAGCAGAGCAATGGTTTGGGGACAAAAATCACAGCAATTTGGGTTTTCTATTGCCAGTTATTCTAATATTTTCCCTGTAGAGACCAGGCTTTATTAGCTGTAAGTCTGTGACACCTGTGGTGTTTGCACCAAGACTCTTTGCAGGACCGTGGGCTTCCTGGACTTAGAGCAGCATGTAACGCGGGGCAGAATCCTGCCTGCCTGCTGGGGCTCTGGCTTGTGGGGCACCTCGATCCGGTTCCCAGCAGCTGTACAAGGGCAGCAGTCACCTGGAGGGGTCTCAGCTGATGGGCTGGTCAGTGGGGTTTGGGTTAAATAGGCAGGGAGGACATTTAGCTCTGAGCAGAGGCCAGACAGTAGCCTGGCACAGCTGTGCAGGTACAAAAGGACTCTGTTTCCAGAGCTGTTACCTTGGCATCCATCACTAGCACAAAATCCATAGGTAAAGCTAATGCATGGGGAGAAAAAATTGATGGGAGAATTGTCTCGTGAAGCAAACGCCAGCTCCTGTGTGGGTCCAGAAGCTGTTCTCTACTGCTGCAGTGTTGTGTCTCTTGGCTGGCTGCTGGCTTCCTTGAGAGCACAGCCACAGCCTTGTGTGAGAGAAAATCAAAGTTCTGCCCTCTAAGCCATGTCCTGCTCTGCTGTGAGAAGGTGTTTTGAGTTTTCCTTTGGTGCACTGGGTCAGGGATTCCTGGTCTGGTTTTAGCTATACTAATTGGATTTACTCCTGATGTCTCTAGAATTGCAGATTATGCAGTCCTGCAGACTATAGCTGTCAGTGTTTTTCATTTTAAAATTACGAAAGGATGAGTTCTTGCCGGTTTTACTTCTCTTCTTCCCTCTTTTAATCATGCACTGAAGTCTTTCTGTGTTATGTACCAGGAGGCCAGTTCAGTCTGGCTGCTATTTAAGGACAGGTTTTTAAATGAGTTAGCTGGGCAAGATGAGTTACAGTTCCTTCCCCTACATATGTACATGGTTGCCCTGGCTGGATGCCCAGACCACCACATACCTGGGCAGTATGAAAATCTGATCATAAATTTCCATTTTCCTGTGGTTTGAGTAAATAAAAAAGAAGAGCCTGCTGTTGCATTAGCTACTGTACCAGGCTGGGGAAGGTTCAGGTTCTGGGTTTCCAGCTCAGTGACTGGTGTTAATTCCAAGTGAATGAGTGGAGCTGTGGAAGTGCTGTGCCAGCTCCCTCTTCCTTCATGCACTCGGCTGAAGGGCTCACTTGTGTGAGAGGAGCTCTCTGCTGGAGTCACCGCATCCATCGCCCACTGCTGCTGCCAATGCAGGAATCTGCTGGTCTCAGTCTGGAAGCGAGTCTTGGCCACTACTGAGTACAGCAAATCGTCTCAAGCTTTGGGATGTACTCTATTCCTCTTGCCCTCATCTACATGTTCCCAAGTGAGCCCAGGAAAATGAGGATTTGGTATATCCCTTCCTCCCAAGCCTCAAATGCAACGTGATGCAGCTGTCAGTCTTCAACAGCAGCACTGGTGCTTGTTAAAAAGCTCCTGACATCAATAGAAGTGGCACCGATACAGCAGAAGGAGTAATGAACGAGCGTGGAGGAAAGCTTCGTCACGTCTGAGAAAGGACAAGATGCTGGCGAGCCTGCCACTAAAAGAATCCTGCACAAGAAGTGGTATGGCTGGTAGTGAAGATGGGGAGGAAGCAAGCCAGGGAGTTTGGTGACTGTGGCCTCACAACTCCGCATACCAACCCGACCCAGCAGCCCCAGGAGGTGCCTGGGGTGGGTGTACTGATAGTAGGGCCGGGATGGGGAGGGTTTGCTCCTCTTCCCCAAGGTGCGAGCTGGAGCCAAGCAGGCCAAGGATGACTTGTCAGCCAGAAGAAATGCTGTGCCAGGGAACAGGTTGTTCTCGGTCTACAGAGAACAACGAAGAGGCATTGCATCTGGGAGAGTTACAAGGCTCCTGTCACACAGCAGGTCAGCACTGCTCTGTGGTGAGGACTTTCCCCCCAGCAAATCTTTTCCCATGTTCTAAACTCCCTTCCTGCGGCTGGCTGGCGTGTTTTGGCAGGGGTCATGCCTCGGCAGCTGGCCCTGTTCTCTCTCCTGTGCTTCTGCTTCCAGCAGTACAGCTGGGGGTCTTCCCCTGGGCAGCTGCAGAGCTGGTCCCAGACATCTCTAATGGGCCCATTATGCCAGATGTGTTCACTGCTTTAGGAAGAAAATAGAACTGATTAACACCTGAGCTGGTGCATGAGGCTCCTGAGATAGTGTTAGCGGAATATTAACGAGTGCACGCTGATTTGGAGAGCAGCTTTCACCATGCTGTCAAACACACGTGTTAGTTGAGTTGTTGGGAGGCTGGATGGCCTGGGGGGTGGCCATGGTTATCAGCCCCCCTCAGTCAGGCTGCCACTTCAAATATAGGCCAGGCTCAGTTAGAGATGTCTGCTTCAGTGCCTGTGAGAAATGAGCTGTTGGTATCAGTCATTGCCTACAGGACAATACCCACATCCTAGGAAGTGCTTGAGTTTGTTCCTTCAGCGTGGATGTCTCCTGTCAGCCCCAACAGCTCCTGAGCATCTCGCAGTGCATTTGCTGGTTGTGGCTGCAGATCAGTGGTCGCTACTAAGGGAAAGGCTGTGTTGTACCAGCACCGTGGATAGATATTGGGGTTGCCCAACACTCTGGAAATGGGGTTTTGCTAGAACTCGGAAGGATTCCATTTGTTCTGCACAAAATTTTGTCCATCCCTTTCTTTGTCACAGATGATGTGCCAACAATAACAGGTTTCTTGTGCCTATACCCTGGATTCAGACCTTTCTCCTAATGAGAGTATGGGAAGCAATGTTACTGGGCTGTAAGATAGTTCCCTGCATTGTCCCCTTAGCTAGCTTGCCCAAGAGTGCTTACTGTGACATCTGTTCTGGAGCTGGAGTCTTGAACATCCGTGGTGAAGCAAGCTAAGCTATCTGATATGTTCCCTGAGGATCTTTGCTGGTGGCATGTCAACAGGAATACGCTGAGAGGAATTCAGCTGAGAGAGACAACGCTCTGACGTGCTCCCTGCAGATGCCTGGAGATCAGGTTTGGAAAGGCTGCTTGGGCTGCTGAAGGAATTGTTGGACCCATCATTAGCATGCTGGTCAGCTGGGATCTCGCTAGCTACCCACGTGTGTTGGAGCTGGCCCTTCCCTGCTGCCACTGGAGAGCAGCACTACTGATGCATAGCCCTGGTAGAGATCTTCATCCAGAGGCCCCACAGAGCTGTATGAGGACAATAATACAGATCCCCCCTGGTTCACACGGGCAGTGGAAAAAGCAGCGAGTGTAGGCTAACTGTTGTAACTCTCCCTTTCCAGCGTGAGCTGTGTCCCTCCCCAGCAAGGCTCACTCTTCCTACCACATCTGCAGAGGGGCTGCTGGTGCCTCCGCACAGCCCCCGCTGCAGCTCTCCTACCCCCAGCTCACAGCTACTGCACTCCCTCCCCTGCAGCAGGCACGGGTGCTCGGTTTGGCAGGGAGCGGTGCTGTGCTGCTGGAGCAGCTGTGTAACTCTTCTCCCAGGCTGTTGTGCTGCTGCGCATCAGCCTTAAAATTACTGTAAACTACGTACTGTTGATCCAGCTGTGTCTGGCAGAAGATAAGTTACTGTGTGAAATGGCTAGCTGGCTTCCAAGTCCAGGGAAGGTAACTTCTTCAGTATCCCGCCAGAAAAAAAGGAGAGTTGGCCAGCTACCTCTTCTGCAGGAATAAGACCCCGCCCATCCCAGTCCAGTATTTCTTTGCCTCTGCCATCACTTCTGCTGCAGCCTTGAGTGGAAGCGATGGAAACTTGTTGCATTTGGACGTGGTGTAGGGGTGCTTTTGGGCTGGGTGACAGGTAACCCTTTCTGGTTTTCTTCCAGTGCTCACCCGGCATCAGGTAGCGGCAAGAAGTAAAGGTGCTAGTGGTGGAAGCGGCCCAACACCCTTAAACATTGACAAGTAAGTAGGTATGCCTACTCTTCCAAAATTGTTTCTGTGCTTCCACTCTAGCTTGCCTGTGGATGTCTTTATTCCTGTATAAATGCTGGCCATTGGCCTTACAGCAATGTTTCCCTAAGAAATTGCCTTCCCTCAGTGCCTCTTGTTGCAGTGCTGGCTATATTTAAACTGAAGCAAGGGGAATTTGCTGTTCTCAGATTGTTTATTTTTGCACTAATTTCCTTTCAGCCCAATCCATGGTGGGTCAGGGATACATGGTCTCTGACTGCTGTGGGGGGTGCTGTAGCTAAAATGCTGCTAACTCAGCCAGTTCCTAATGGGAGCTTTGAGCTTGGTAACCCCGGGAAAAGAAGAGACTAGGACAGGGAGGTTGTCAACATGGCACCTGTAGTGATATTCTTAATTAAATTAGACTTTCAGAATAGCAGTGGCTTTGTTTAATCTCTTCCCATGCAGCCCCTCCTCCTGCCACCCACACAAAGCATCATAAGAGAGGATCTGACAGTAAAATCCCTGCTATGGAAGCAATTTTGCTGTTACAAACAGTGGATGGCAACATCACTAATGGAATTAGGCTAATTATAGAGAGGACAGCTTCTGTTTAGACACATTATCTGGGTAATCAGTACTGACTGGAAAGAAAATACGGGAAAAGTACTGCAGAGTTTTGCTCGATGGGGGCTCTCCATAGACGTTTTAGAGCCTGGGGTGAGTTTTACTAGGAGAGTACCGCTTATCAAACTGAACACAATGCTGCTGGGGCTGGTCCCTGGGGGCTCATCTCTTCTTGGAGATGGTCCGTTCCTGAGTAGCTCCCTGGGTGGATGCTCCCCTCCTGAAGAACCGGTGCCCTCTTCTGCATAGTTCGGTCCCCACTGAGAGCTGGTGTGGAAGCGAGTGTAGCTGTGTAAATCCACGCCTGACCTTCATCTCCTTTCACCCAGGATTTTCTTCCCAAGCATGCTCAGTCATCCTGCGTGAGCCTGGGCATCTTCTACATAAGTGAAGGGGTTTGAGGAACACACTGTGCCAGCCCCTCAGCAGGGGCGTGTGCTCTGCAGTCCTCTCCCAACATGGCACAATGTAAAATGGAGACAGTACAGAGAAAGACTTGATTTACTAGTCAGACAAGTTCATCCAGCCCTGGTAAAATGTCTCTCTGATTTAACACACTTGGTTTGCTTTTCAGGCAGAATTCAACTCCCCTTTGCAAAGCCCTCACACTTCATTTCTGTGGATTTTGACAGGGTGCTTTATGTCTGGGGAGAAATCAGCGGTGTTTGAGATAGTTAGATGAGCAGATTTGATTACCGTCCCGCTGCTGCAGCAGCAGGATACAGAGGAACAGGCAGGGAAAACTGATAATCACTCGGTCTTTGCGATTGGTGCCAGCCTGACCCCACTGAGCGAGACCTGATCTGGTGACATGCCTTCTCCGTGGCGTGGCCTGGAGGAGGAAAGTCACTGCTGGTGGCTGGGAGCCCGGTGCAGGGTGAATCCTAATGCAGTGCTCTGTCCTTTGCTGCCTGGCAGGTGTGAGAAGTGCTACCTCTGTAAGTCACTGGTGCCACTGCTGCAGTATCAGAGGCATGTGGACAGCTGCCTTCAGGCTGCTAGGCAAGCTCAGGGAACGAGGAGGCTGCGAAGAGCCAAGGTGAGGGGCAACCCTGCAGACCATCTCCTTTGCTTTGCGCTGGGTTTGGGGCTGGGTTGGCAGCAGGAGCTGTTCCTCTGGTTGATGGGATGAGCTGGCCTGGTGTAGGATTGCCTGTCCCTGTGGGCTACCATGGCCAGAGAACTTGTTGCCCTCCTTCCCGCGACGCTCTGCGAGAGCATGGACCGATCCCAGGGGTGAGCTAATCCAGCAGAACTGCCAGTAACCTCTCCAGCAAGCAGGCAGCCAGGGCTGTCCTGCTGCCAGACAGCATGCCTCAGTCCTGCGGGCTTCCTCGGCTGAATATAGATGGAGCAGAGGGCAGTGTCAGGGTTACAAGCGTATCTGACTCTATCCACGAGCCCTTTCCCATGGGGAAGGCTTCAGAGTCGGAGCAGGGGGAGTCACTCAGTGCTGGCAGCAAACTGCAGCATCCCTGGAGAAATGGGGGGGAGCGAGTGCAGTGGAGGTATGCTGGGTGGGGGGGACGTGCCTTGCTAGAGGAGGTGGGAGGCAGGAGCGTGGGTAGCAGCTGGCTCACAGTCACTCACCAGGTGTTGGCCCCCACTGTGCTTTTTCCTGCTCATGGCAGTCCTGGGGGAGCACAGAGAGGGTCCTTCCAGGCCCTCCCACGGGTTCCTGCAGGCAAAGCCCTAGTGCTGCAGCTTTGCCTGTGCTCAGAAATGTGATTCTCAGCATGAAGATGCAACATGATGTCTTAGTTTCGTATAATCCCTTAAATCCATCACAGGCCTCGGCCCTTTGGGGATTCAGATGCAAATGATGAGATTTCTGGTTGATGATTTTGGCTGGGACACAGCCAAGCGCTGTGTGGTTCAGAGTACTGCAGGGCACGGCTGCTTTTGCATGTGACCAGCTCCATGGAGGCTGTTTGACTCTGTCCCTGTGCCCCACAGCTGGCTGATGTGCAGGGTCCTGCACGCAGGCATGGGCACAGGGCATGGGAGAAAGGTGCTGGAGCCAGGCAGTCCTTTGGGATGGTGCGGCAAGGCTCTGTGTTTCCTCTGGCCCTGCCTCGTGCTGAGGTGGTAGCTCAGGTGGCAGCTCATGCCTGGACATGGGCTGGGCTGTTGGAAAGCTTCCTAGTGGCACTGCTGAGCTTGCAGGTTCCTGCCATGGTCCGTTTTGGGGTGCTTTGCAGCTCCAATCCCGCAGCTGGGATGCCAGTGCCTTCCAGAGCAGTTCTGAGGGCAGGGAGCAGCCAGGAGGGGGGACTGTTCTGGGCCACTGAGGCTCAAAGCAGCCAAGCCAAGTAGTCTTCAATTACCCTGTGTAACCAGCATGGCTACATCTTCCCAAAGGCTGAGAGGGGGCACAAGATAGGCGTTCCTTATCTGACTGTGCTCTGGAGAAGGCCCTTCCCTCCAGCACCAGGTCCCTGTGCCCTCAGACAGAGCAGGACAGAGCCTGCCCTCAGGGGCACCGTGCTGGGGATGTGCCCGAGCTGTGGCAGAGCCCCAGGTGCCCACATTTCTCCGTTACAGCCCCATGCTTGCTGGCTGGGCTTGGGGGGGGTGGCTTCCTGCACACTGGCCTCCCCCCTTACAGGGCTCTGCTTTATTAACTGCTCTCAGCTGCCTCTGCTCTGGCACTGGTCAGGCTGGGCATGGGGCAATGCCCTTCCATGCTCAGCTGGAGGCCCTGGCAATGCAGCACTCCCTCTTGTGCCCAGCCTGGCCCCGTGGGCTGGGGAACGTGTGGCTGCGGGGTTCCCTCACGGCAGCACTGTGATGGTGGTTCTCCTCTCCTTGGCAGGATGTTGGAAGGCAGGAGAGGGGACTCCTCAGGATGCTGGAGCTCTCGGAGAGCAAGTCTGCAGGTGGGAAGCTGCTTTCTGTGCCTGCCTGGTTGGGTCAGGGCTGCCCTTTCCCAACTTTTCCCTTTTTGTCCCAGATTGGACTGGGCTGTATTGGGACAGCAAATTAACCCCAAAGGGGTCTGTTCTTCCTGAGCAGAGCAGGAGGCTGTGGACTTAGCTGGCTGTTGGCATCCCCCAGCTGCCTGCATGCATCCTGACCTGTGCCAGCACCCAGAGCCCTCACAGCGGGTCAGGGTGTGCTCCGAGCCACTGCACCAAAAGATGTCCAGCTCCCTGGGGGGGTGGCAGGGTGCTTCCCATCCCTGCCTGCGCACCGGTGCTTCCTGCCACAGCTCCGAGGACAAGAGGAGACAAGTGGGGAGAAAGACTCCCAGCAGCACCCGTGGCCCGTGCCAGAGGGCGGCCAGGCAGGGCTGACACACACTCTCGTTGCAGGTGCTGATGCGGAGACCCCCCTCGCTGGACTAGGAGACCAACAGTCCCCTCCCGTGCTCTCGGCCAGAGATGGGGGGCCGGTGGCGGACAGCCCCAGCTCCCTTTGGCACCTTCCTTTTGACGTCTCCCCTGTGAAACCCAGCGTCTCCTCGGAAGCCACGGACTACGTGGTGGACTTGGAGCCACATGCAGCTCTTCGCTTGGGCAGCCAGCAGCAGACCAAAGGCTGCCGCCGGAGAAAGCGCAAGTTCTGAGGCCAGCGGTATGGCAGGCCCCCCCCGCGGCTCCCCACGCCCCAGCGAGGGTCTGCATGGCACCGTACCCCTGCTTCACCTGCAGCCTTGTTCTCCCACCCCCCTTTTATATGTTTTATACGACCTGTGCAGGGAGCGCTGGGTGGAGAAGTGATTGTGTGTTTTATAGGTGCCTGTGCAGCTTTGCTCTCTGTTAAAGAAATGGAAATATATTTATGTATGTTTTTATGAAACTGCAGCAACACAGAGGAGCTGTGCTGTCTTTCTCTGGGGAATGGGAGGCGCTGGAGGGAGAAGAGGAACAGCAGACAGTGCGTCCAAAATCACACTTCCCGAGGCCTGTCAGGTGCTGGGGCGGACAATGTGAGCTCGGGGACCCCCCGGGGCAGGGGCCCAATGCTGTCTGTAGGAGCTGCGGGGGGCACCCGGGTGCCAGCTGACAGCTGCACCAGTGGAGCCGCAACCAACAGTGTCCTCATGTCCTTGGTGTCTTCCCTGGCCGCCGGGTGCCTCTGCCTGCCCCAACCGCTGACGACTTTGAGGGCAGGATGGAGCCCCGGGCTGGGCCCTGCGTGTCCCCCCCGGCTCACCGGGCGCATCCTCGCCCTCCCCCGGAGGGAGACGGGGGGCTCATCGCTGTGCTGCTTAATTAAAGGGACGAGGTGATGCAGGGCTTAAAATTGAGCCTCCGAATTGAGGGCGATGGTGCCGGGGCGCGGGGCGTGGCCCCTCCCGCGGGGGCGCCCCCATTGGCCAGGGCGGCGCGGCGGTCGGCCAATGGCGTGGCGGGGCGCCCGCGGGCCCTGCCGCTGTTGCCAGGGCAACGGCGGCGGCGTTAGCAACGGTTCCCCCCGCCGCCGCCGCCGCCGCCCCGCCATGGCCAGCCCCGACCGCCGCCGTGCCCAGCCCCGCCGCGGCCGGGCGGACGGGGCCTCCCGGGAGCGCAGCCCCGCCGTCCCCACCTCGGACCGCCTCCCCCGGCGGGGGCTGGGCTCGGAGGACCGGGGCCGCCTGGTCCTGAACCGGTGAGGGGCTCCTGCCCGTCGGCAGCCTCAGCGAAGCCGAGTGTGGGGAAGCTGCGGTCGGGGCCGGGGATGGGGCTGAGCAGGCTCCCCTTGCCCCTCCCTCCGAGAGTTGCACCTCCCGGGGCAAGGGGAGAGACCAGCCTCTGGCCTCTTGCAGGTGGAGGGGAGGCACGGGCAGGGCGAGCCAGGGGCAGCCCCCTTCTCCCGCAGCCCCCGAGAGCAGCCCTGACATCATCGCCGTGGTGGGGCACAGCTGTCCCTTCTACCCCCGGCTGCGGGGTCGCAGTTGCAGTGGAAGGACACTGCAAAGTGACGATGCTGTCGAGACCGTGGCCCCATGGAGCAGGGACACAGAGGGGAGGTGGGAGGCAGAGCCGGGGATGGGGCCCCCCCACGGTCCCTCTTATGTGCTTGGGCATGGGCAGGCATGTGTCCTGTCCTCCTGTGGGCCAGGGATCAGCAGGTGACATGCCACCTCCTTCCACACAGCTCCCCAGTGAGCCATCAGCTGGGCCACCGCAGTGATGGCCCCACCTGCACACCGGTAAGGCCCATCCCTGCCCCGCGCCCAGCGAGAGGCATCCCCTGCCCTTCAGACCTGCCCTAACGAGCTGCCCCCAGGTACAACGAGCCCTCCTGGCGCTCACCGTCCCGCTGGAGACACTGCAGATGGTGAAGAGCCACATGCTGCAGGCCATGCGCAAGGGGCTGAGCCGCCAGACGCACGCACAGGCCAATGTGCGGATGCTGCCCACCTACATCTGCTCCATGCCCGACGGCACCGGTAAGGCAGCCCGGCCTGGGGATGGGCTGCTCTGCGACCTGCAGCCCTGCACGCCTCGCTGGACTTGGCCTTGGGGGTGCTGGGGAGGAGTCCACCAGTCTCTGGTCAGGTATAGGGTCCATAAGCTGTCCTTGTGCTGCCTCTGCCAGTCCCCAGTGCAGTGGCAGAGGCCGGGAGCGGGCTCCCTTGGCCCCTACAGTGGTCTCGGGCTCTCAGGAGCCTCGCCCATGGTGAGTGACTGGCCCTGGGACAGGATGAGGAGCAGATTTTTGGGGATCTGCCACAGGAAAGGTCTCTGCCTGACACCGCCTCTGCTCCCCCATAGAGAAGGGTGACTTGGTGGTGGTGGAGCTGTGCCAGAGCCACATCCGGATCCTGCAGGTGACCCTCTCAGGTGATGGCAACCAAAGCCCCCAAGTGACGTACAAGATTTTTGACATGCCAGAGGACCTCAAGCAGGGCAAGGGGGAAGCGGTACGAGGAGGACACGGCACAGGGTGGCTAGTGCTGGACTAGCCGGCCCCACGGCAGCTCGGCAGGGCTCTGGGCCGGTGCTGGGGCTCCGGGCTGCCTCCCGAAGCCTGGGTGCCGGGTAAGGGGAGCAGCCGGTCACCTCCAACCATGCCTTCACAGCTCTTTGACTTCATTGCGCAATGCGTGCACCAGTTCCTGGCTGGCTTCAGCAGCTCTCAGGAACGCCTCCCCTTGGGCTTCGTCTTCCCCTTCACCTGCAGGCACACGAGGCTGGACAAGGTGAGTGGGACAGCCCTGTCCCAAGGCTGTGGCCACAGCCACCTCCTTCCCGAAACATCGCCGGTGGGGAGCAAAGCCAGCCCCATGCCAGAGGCCAACAGCTCCGCCACGTGCTCTCCGCAGGCTGAGCTCATCTCCTGGTCTAACGGTTTCAGCTGCAGTGACGTGGAGGGGAAGGATGTTGTGCAGTTGCTGCAGACGGCCATCAACAAGCAGGAGGTGGGGGGCCGTGGGGTGTGGGGGGGGAGCTGTCTGGGGGCTGCCCCCGCGGAATGGCTGCTGATGCTCTCGCTTTGCTGCCGGCCAGCTCTGCCACGTGGACGTCATTGCCCTGATGAACGACACTGTGGGCACCATGATGGCTGGCAGCGTGGGGGAGGAACCCTGTGAGGTCGCCTTGGTCGTGGGTGAGCAGTGGGCACCCTGCGTGCCAGGGTGGTGGGTGCTGGCAGTGGGCTGTTCCGGTGCTCACCCCCATTGCTCCCTGCAGGCACGGGCACCAACAGTTGCTTCATGGTCGAGGCACAGCAGGTGGAGATAGCGGAGAAGAGCAGTGGGCAGATGTGCGTCAACACCGAGTGGGGCTACTTCGGGGACGATGGCTCCCTGAGCGATGTCCTGACCCCCTACGACCAGATCATGGACCAGGAATCCACCAACCCTGGGGAGAAGAGGTGCACCCACCACCCAGAGAGAGGGCATGGACCCCGGGGCTCCCCGTCCATCCCTGAGCATGTCAGGCCCCACCAACAGGAGCTCATGGCCTCCTGAGATGCTTCTAGGTGCTCTCAAAGGGCCGAGGGGTGCTGGGGGGAGGATGACTGACTCCAGCTTGGGCTGCGCGCAGGTTTGAGAAGCTGGTGGGCAGCCTGTACTTGGGGGAGATCGTCCGGCACGTGCTGATCGCCCTCGCCACTGAGAAAGCACTCTTCACTGGGAGCAACGTTGCCGTCCTGAGGACCAAGGATGTGCTCAAGACCCAGCAGGTCCTGAAGATCATCAAGTGAGTGTCTAGGGCCCCGGAGCTGCTGCAGGTGGGAGGATGGGGGGGTGATGGGTGGGTGCCCCAGCCTGCGAGCCTGTGGCCCTGTGAGTTGGCACCGTGCTCTCCCTTGCAGCAACGAGGAAGGCACGGCCGAGGCAAAGAGGGCTCTGGAGGCTGTGGGGCTGCAGCCGACCGAGCAGGATTGCTGCCGGGTGCAGCAGATCTGCCGGGCAGTGGTGATCCGTGCCGCCGCGCTCTGCGCCGCCGGGCTGGCTGCCATCCTCAGCCACATGTACCAGAGCCGGGAGCTGGAGCAGCTGGCGGTCAACGTGGGGGTGGATGGCGAATTGTACCGGGGCCACACCAGGTGAGGAGGGACATGGGATTCCCAGTGGGGTCTCCCACCCCGGCAGGATGCCTCACGCCCGGCTTTCACCATCTTCTTCCTCCGACAGGTTTGGAGAGATCCTGCAGAGCGTGACGGGGTTGCTGGTCCCCGAGTGCAAGGCCACCCTCTTGCCCTCGGCGGACGGGACGGGACGGGGGGCGGCCATGGTGACAGCGGTGGCTCTGCGCCTGGCGGCCCAGCGCCGAGAGGTGGACAAGCTGCTGGCCCCGCTGCGGCTCAGCCGCGCTGACCTGGAGCGTGTCCAGGCGCTGATGAGGCGGGAGATGGAGCTGGGGCTGAGCGGTGAGAGCAATGCCAGCTCTTCCATCCGCATGCTGCCCACCTACGTCCGCAACACACCCGACGGCACCGGTGAGGGCCGGGGACCCTGGGAGGGGTTGTCAGGGAGGCCAGGGCCCTGCTGATGCCGCATGTTGGCTCCCCACAGAACGAGGCGAATTCCTGGCGTTGGACCTGGGGGGGACAAAATTCCGGGTGCTGGTGGTACGCGTGACGCAGGACGGCATCCGCATGGACAGCGAGATCTACATCATCCCCACCACCATCGCGCAGGGCACTGGCGAGGCGGTGAGGCTGAGGACCCGTGGCCAAGGGACGGGGAGAGGGGGTGGAAATTGCCCGTGGGCCTGGGAGAGCCCCCGCAGCATCTCCCCAGCCTGGGCCCTGCTGACCATGGCCACTCTCTGCAGCTCTTCAACCACATCATCGAGTGCATCGTGGACTTCCAGCAGAAGCAAGGCCTGATGGATCAGATCCTGCCGCTCGGCTTCACCTTCTCCTTCCCCTGCCAGCAGCTGGGCCTGGATAAGGTGAGGAGGGGATGGCTCTGGCCCCAGGGGGTTTGTGGGGGGGTCCCGGGGTGCAAGGCAACTGCCCGGCCCCTGCCTCTCTTGCAGGCAGTGCTGCTGAGCTGGACCAAAGGCTTCAGCGCCTCGGGCTGCGTGGGGCGGGACGTGGTCCAAATGCTGCGGGAGGCCGCCCAGCGCAAACAGGTGGGGAAGGGCTGGGGGTCCATCCCCTGTTCCTGGGGTGCCATCCTGAACCCAGGCAGCGTCAGCCCCGGGAGCCAGCTGGCTGCCACTAAAGCTGCATGTGTCCCCGTCTCTGGTTTGGCAGCACTTAGGGCTGAAGGTGGTGGCTGTGGTCAACGACACGGTGGGAACCATGATGTCCTGTGGCTATGAAGACCCTAAATGTGAAATCGGCCTCATTGTGGGTGAGGAGCATCTGTTCATGTGGCATGGCACGGGGTGTCAGGCAGCTCTGCCAGGGCTGTGGTGGGGGTGACACCAGCACGGGGCCCACAGGGACGGGGACCAATGCCTGCTACATGGAGGAGATGCAGAATGTGGGTACCGTGGAGGGGGAGCAGGGCCACATGTGCATCAACATGGAGTGGGGGGCCTTTGGGGACAACGGCTGCCTGGATGACTTCTTCACCAACTTCGACCAGCTGGTGGATGAGAAAACCATCAACGCGGGCAAGCAGAGGTGGGCGAGGGCCCTGGGACTGGGGAAGGGGCTGGGTGGGGGTGGCTGTGCCTGGCTAAAGCTGTACCTGGGCCAGGTTCGAGAAGCTCATTAGTGGCATGTACCTGGGTGAGATCGTGCGCCACATCCTGCTGGCGCTGGTGGAGAAACAGGTCCTGTTCCGCGGCAAGCCCTGCCCTAAGCTCCAGACCAGGGACATCTTTCAGACCAAGTTCCTTTCCACCATCGAGAGGTGAGCGCTGGGCTGCAGTGGGTTCCTTGAGCCCAGAGTTGGGGGGGTGTGAAGCCAGGGCCCCAGGAAAGGGACCATGCTACGTTGATGGGATGCATGCAGGGTGATGCCATCTCCAGCCTGTGGGATGGGGATGGGGATGGGGACAGCAGTGCTAACGGTGTCCCTGGTCCGGGACAGGGATGGGCTGGCCCTGCAGAAGGTCCAGGCCATCCTGCAAGACCTGGAGCTCCAGGCCAGCTTCGAGGACAGTGTGCTGGTGCGGGAGGTGTGCCAGACCGTGTCCCTGCGGGCAGCCCAGCTCTGCGCCGCCGGCCTGGCTGCCGTGGTGGAGAAGATGCGGGAGAACCGGGGCCTGGCCCAGCTGGCCATCACCGTGGGGGTGGATGGCACCTTGTACAAATTGCACCCACAGTGAGTCGAGTGGGGCTGGGGGGTGGCAGGCACCCACCGGGGAGCCTTGCCCTATGGCAGGGGTGTGGGGAGCACCAGCCCTCACCCTCCCCTCTTGTCCCCCCTCAGCTTCTCCCAGAACCTCCAACAGATGCTACAGGACCTGGCACCCAACTGCACCGTCACCCTCTTGCAGTCGGAGGATGGCTCGGGGAAAGGGGCCGCACTCGTGGCGGCCGTGGCCAGCCGTGTGACCGAGTCCTAGGGCCAGCCACCGCTGCCACCACCTGCACCCCAATAAACCACTTTGCTCCGCACCTCCGACTCCTATGGAAGGGCACGGGGTGGGGTGGGCAGCACATGGCCGGGCACAGCCCCACGTAGCAATATATATCGAATTTATTTACATTCACGTTCGGCAGACCCCCCGCCCGCGGCACCGCTATGTACATAAGGCCAAGTGTAAATACTTGAATGCACTTAATACAGAATTAAAAAAACGGTCTTTACACAACACGGCACGGGGCCCGGGGCCACCTGGCCCCACACGCAGACAGCACGACGGCACCGCACGCACGACGCACACCCAGTGCCCCCCCAGCCCCCCACCACGGGGCTGTGGGACCCACGGGGCCGGGCTGAGCCCTGCTGCCGCAGCGCTGGGGGGGGCCCAGTCGCCGTGGGGTACAGGCATCCCTCTCCGGCAAGGGGGGCTGGGCATCCCTCCCCGTGGGCTGTGGGGCCGCGGGGGCCCAGGGGCCGACCGGAGCACCCCCTGCCCCATGGCGGTGGTCCCCTGGGATCAGGGTTGGGCCCCCCCCACCCCGCTGCGCTCAGCACTCGGCCTCAGAGACGGCAAAGAGGGCACTGTCCTGCTTGCCCACCTCGGCCACGGCGGCGGCCAGCTGCGAGAGGTTGCCGTTGGGGAAGTGCCGCGCTTCCCACAGGTTGAGGATCATGGCCGTGGGGCTGGGCTTCGAGGCGAAGAAGCTGAGATGGCTGGAGGGGGGGGGACACGACATAGAGGGACCACGTCAGGGCGCAGGGATGACTCCCACACCCTGGGACCAGCCCCACGCTGGCCTCACCTTTGGCACCATCCCGCTTCCAGGGTCCCACGGCATTCCAGCATCCATCCATAAGTGCAGGATGAGGCCAGAAGCCCCCTCTCATCCCCGTCCACCGTGCCACCCCGTCCCCATTCCCAGCACTGTCCCCATCCCAGGCCACCTGTCAAGGTTGAGCTTCTGGGCCAGCGTCCTCCAGTCGGCTCCCCGGGTGCCCGGCGGGTCCAGGCTGCTGATGATCTTCTGGCGGATGAGGAAGGGGATCTTGAAGGCACTGGGGCCCACGAGGGCAGGGGCACCCACCTCGCTGTCAGGGACCAGCCAGTCCGAAAACCTCGTGTCCTAGGGGAGAGCACCAGCGGAGAAGGGAGGATGTGAGCCCATCCCGGGGTCACCCCCCAGGAGCCCCCCAACCCCCCAGCCCTGCCCTCACCTTGGCAATGTTGAAGTTGACGGTGAAGCTCTGCCCGTCACCCTCCACCTGCCAGACCCAGATCTTGCAGGCCAGCTCGCAGGTGCTGGGGCTCAGGCGCTCCAGGGTGAAGGTGCAGTGCAGGAAGGGCTGCAGCCCGCTCCAGATATGGTAGAAGGGGATCTCCTGCGGTGGGGTAATGGCGGGGGGGGGGGGGGTGGTGGGGTTAGAGTGGCAGGGACACCCCTTTTGTCCCCGTTCCCACCCACTGGCCAGCCTCCTCACCTGGTAGCTGGCGAGGAGCTTGCTTTTCCAGAGGGAGCTGGGCATGTCGTGGATGGAGAGGCGCAGGTTGTGGTAGCTGTCCTTGAAGTGCAGCACCCGGGGGGCTCCGATCAGCTGCCCCCCCAGCTGCTTCTCCAGCTGGATCACCTCCTGCCGGCACAGGCAGCGGTCAGGCAGGAGATCCCGCACCCCCAGATGCCTGCGCAGCCCCCGCCCCGAGCCGGGATGGGGTGGGGGGAGGTTGCGTGGGGACCCCTGGTACCTTGAGGACGTCCTGGGTGTCGCTGAGGCAGTAGACGCGGATGTTGTACTCGAGCGAGGGGCAGGCGGCCGGCGCGAACAGGACCAGCTTGAGGCGCTTGGAGGCCGCCATGCTGAGGGACTCCCCAACCAGGGCAAAACGCCCCAGCTGCTCCGTGAAGATGTAGCAAGCCTGCGCTTCCAGCTGGCAGTAGTACAGCTCCGTGCACGGCTCGGTGCCCAGCTGCAGCACGTCCTGTGGCACCCAGGCAGAGATGCACCCTGGCCATGGGCATCCCCCTCCCGCCTCCCACCTCGCCCCTCAACTCCAGCCCCGACCCCCTCGGCCCCGGCGGGCGCTCACCTCCCACGTGCCCTCGCACGACTGCTTCTTCAGCCGGATGCTCCAGTTCTCAGCGCTGGCCTCCACGCAGTGACCCATGGCCAGGATGGCGGGACGGGTGAGGAGGACCCCGGGGGGGCCGCAGCTGACGATGGGGCTCAGGAGCGTCTGGCAGCCGGCCAGGGGCAACCTGGGGCAGCATCGGGGGCAGCTGAGCGGGGATGGCCCCCCCTCAAGCAGCCCCCATATCCCTGCAGCCCCGGCACCTACCTCACCTCCTCCTGCTTGTGCAGGGTCAGGTAGACCTCGTAGATCTTCCCCCGTGGGATGGCATCGGGTGGGATGAGCAGGCTGATTCCTGGGTGAGGAGGGGGGTGGTGGTGTAGGCAGGGTGGGGTGAGCCCCACGGGGACCCGCCTGCACCGGGCGGTGCTCCGGCACCCTGTGCCCACCCCACCGTACCTGTGTTGGGGATCATGAGCCGCCCCCCCAAGAAGTTGAAGGTGCCATAGGCCATGTTGGTGGTGCCACGGGGCAGGGAGCGAAAGTAGCTCTGGGTGGAGAGCCGGGCCACAAAGTCGGCACCCTCGGCAGCAGGCGAGCTGTGGTGCAGCGTGTGCCGCCCGGCACCCAGCGGGCTCAGCAGGTGCCCGTTGGGCAGCTGGAGCTTGGCGGGGCCGTCCTGGCGTGGGCAGAGCGAGCCCTGGTAGGTCATGGTGGCGGTGCTGAGGTCGGGCTGGATGGTGAGCAGGCTGGGGTTGTCTGTGGCACAGAGCAGGGGACCGTGGTGCTGGGGCACGGCGGGGTGGGAGGGTCCCTGCCAGTAACGCACTGGCACAGCTCGCCCCGGGGGGCATGGGGCACACAGCCCCTGCCCCATGGTTAGGACACCACGGGGCACAGCCACCCCTGGGTGCCCAAAGGGCATCGAGCCCCCACCCATTGGGGCACAGTCACCCTTGGGGTCCCCAGAGCACACAGCACCAATGCAGGGCACAGGCCCTATAGGGACCAGGGGCCCTATAGAACACAGAGCCCCTACCCACAGCCAGAGACCTATGTGGCACAAAGCACTGACCCCACAATACAGCGTCTCCGTGCCTAGGTCAGGGATCTCATAGAGCAGAGGCCCCACTCAAGACCAGGGACCCCGTGGGATACACGACCCCTGACCAGGGACCCCACAGGACACAGACCTCCCCATCCAGGGCTGGGGATGTCCTGGGGCCAACAGCCCCTGCCCAGAGCCCCCCTGGGTGGGGCACGGCCACCCCCAGATCCCAAGGGACACCATGTCCCAGTGTGGGCGCACAACCCTGTCCCCACAGCCCTCGCTCACCGGCCTTGCTGGGCTTGATGCTGACGGGCTGGAAGCCGGCGGTGAGGATGGAGGAGTCGGCCACGTCAGCGTCTAGGCCCCCCTTCTTGCGGCAGTACACCAGCACCCCCACGAGCAGCAGCAGCACCAGGCACACGGCCACGGCCACCAGCCCCACGTACAGCGCCATGTCCTCCGCGCCGGGGGCAGCTGCGCGGGGCAGGGTGTCAGCACCCACGGGCACCCTCAGTCCCCTCTTCCCAGGGGACAACCCCGCCGTCCCCCCGCCACGCTCACCGTGGCTGCAGAGCTCGGAGGTGCAGTTGCGGGTGTCCAGCTCGGGGCCGTGACAGTCCCGGCCCCCGTTGCGTGGCGCGGGCTCCGAGCACTCCCGGCTTCGCCAGTGGGTGCATTCGGTGCCACACACCGACCACTTGCTCCACTCTGACCAGGCGCCGTCCACTGTGGGCACAGCCGGGGGTCAGCGCCCCGCTGCCATCCCCCTCCCCTGTCCCGGGGCCGGCGGAGACAGACACACAGAGGGGTGGGAGGACGAGACACCTGGGGCAGGGGGACAGGGACTGCGATGGGTGCAGCGGGGAGTGCAGCACCGGCATGGCGGGGGCGGCGGCGGTGCCCGGGGCAGGGCGGGTACCTGGGCACAGGGTGGTGCAGGCGGTTTTCTGCACGTTTTGGCCCTCACAGAAAGCCCCCCCGTTGAGGGGCGTGGGGTTGGTGCACGTCCGGCTCCGCTTCTGCCAGCCCCGTCCACAGCTGGTGCTGCAGCCCGACCACTGCGTCCACGTCGACCAGCCGCCGTTCACTGGGTGGAGAGGGACCCATCAGCGCCCCGCCGGGACGGGGGGACGCGGGGAGGGACAGGACAGGGAGGGTGACACCGGGAACAGCGTGGCGGGGACGGGTGCGGTAGGGCCGTACCGTAGACGGTGATGGCAGCAGAAGCGCTGCGGCGACGGGCCACAATGTTTTTGGCCACGCACGTGTAGTTGGCAGTGTCGGCCAGGCGGGCCTGGCGCAGCACCAGGCTGTGCTCCGGCGTCACGTACACGTTGGCGTCCAGCGCCGGGTCCACCAGCTCCTCGTTGCGCAGCCACTCCACCTGTGTGGTGTTCGGACATCGCTGGGTGCCCGGCCGGGCCACCCTCTCGGGGAGCACACACGGTGTCCCCACGGGCGAGGGGCACCCTCAGCCACATCCTGCCTTGCCAGAGCGCGGGGGGCTCACCTCGGCGGGGGGGATGCCCTCGGGAGGGCGGCATGGCAACACGATGCCCTGCTCGATGGAGACCTCCCTGGCCGTCGGCTCCTGTTCGAAGTTCTTGCGTAGATCTGGGGAGGTGCAGGGGTGAGGGGGGGGTGGGCCAGGGCCAGCGCCCCGCACCCCATCCGGGCACCCGCAGACACTCACAGGCGATGCGCACGAAGGCTTTCTGGCTCTTGGTGGTGCCAGAGGAGCTCCAGGCCACGCACTGGCACCAGTACTCCTCCAGCCCGAAGATCTTCTCCACTTGCTGGCGGGTGACCTCGATGTGCACCTCCATCACCGGCAGCCCTGCCACCAGCGGGCAGCACGTCAGCACCGGCACGCCGGGAACGGTCCCCGCGGTCTCAGCCCCGTGCAACAGCCTCCC